AGGTCCAAAGAAAAGGAAAGTGTCGAGCTACGTACATGGTGGATATATTACTTGTACAGGCTGTATATTGTATACATGTATATGCTGCACCCTTGTAACTTGGGTTGTACACCTTTCTCGCGCCTCGCGCCCCGGTGCACGTGCAAGTGCTCTGCATATAGGTACACCCATTGGGTATATACCACCACTTTTTCTTTACGTGCGTCTCATCCATGCAAGACCCAACACTTACGCACCACCACCTCCTACACGCTTTCAAAGCCGCGTCGCCCTGTAAGTATATATGTATAGCCAGCGTCGTCGGCCGTCCCCTGCTCGCTCGTTTTGCTTATATTCCTCGAGAGAGAGAGAGAGAGAGAGTGTAGGAGGCAGAGTCAAGCGCGCGCGCGTGTCGATAATAAAGGCAAGCAGGAGGAGGAGGAGAAGGAAGGGAGCCTAGCTCTCGACTCTCTCTTTTTCTCCAGGGTTCGAGGGGGTGGTCGTCGCCGTAGTTGTACACGACGTGCGCGCTTTTCTCCCTCTCCTTTCTTTTTTTCCTCGGTATATATAGTCTTTTGCTCTCCACGCGAGCTTGCTCCTTCTTTTCCTCTCTCCTCCCCCTTGTTTTTTAGCTCGGCGACGGTGATGGTATACATAGTAACCGGCTCTCGCTATCACTTGTATACATATATATGTATATACATACACCCTCAGTCGTAGCTGGCTCGATGTCTCTCGAGAGATTTTGCTTCCTTTCTTGCTTTTTATTTATTTATTTTTTTTTTTTGTTCAGCCCAAGATTTCAGAGCTGCTTGCTCTTTCCGTCGCGCTGAAAGAGCGAAAATTTCTCGGCAAGGCGTCAGTTGTGCCGCTTACACCATCGTCACGTTTACCAACCGAGCTACCGAATGCCGATATGGTTAAAGGCAACGGATCGAACGGGGCGAGGAATTAGAGGAATTTTTGTTATTTAAATTGGTTTTCTTGAACTGCGCGTGATCCACTCGTATATATATATATACGTATATATATATATATATATATATATACCGTTTAATTGGACGCTGCTACACCAAAGTAAAGTGGTATAGCTAGTATAGTAGCGATGATCGCTCCGGAGATAACTCCAAGCTCGACAGAGATACATATATACACCTATAGGTATGTATATACATACTGCTGGTATTATCGATCGAGAAAGATTGAGGGGGGAAGGGAAAGCCAGCGCTTCCTTCCCTGAAATATATATGTAAATTTCGATTGCGGCTCGCAAAGATGTCACGGATCCGAGATAAGGGATACATGTGTGTTGGTATATTATATGTACGGCGCAAGGGCTTTATTTCAAATTACATTTTGCATGCGCGGCTCCGGCGATTAAGATATCGATCAGAGCGGCGCGTGCCGTGATAATATTATATGTATATACACCTACATCCTTGTCGCCCTCTCGCGCCAATTGCGCTCACACACACACTACTGGCTTGACAAATCACTCTTGTCTTTTTCATTGTGGTTTTCAGAACAAGTATTATATATTGCTTGAGTCTCGTCCCTCGAATCACGACCCCCTGAAGTACATGTCCATGCATCTCGGGTGTGTATACCTACCAGTGGATCGCGCACAACCGAAATTATATCTCGATTACTTGGTCGTTGAAAATTTATTAAATATGACTCGCATTTCACGACCAAGACATTTAGTGTACGCATTCTAATTGAGTTTAGAGAGGGCACAAAAAAAAAAAAAAAAAAAGGTGTCAAGTATAGTTACTATATATATATTATACAATATGTATTTGTTTTATACAGCGTTTTTAGTTATAGTTTTCAAATGACCATACCGGATGGGTGAAAAATTATGAGTCATGATTGTATAGAGCAGAGCTCGCACTTTTAAAACAAAATAAACTTGCTGCTCCCAGGTGAAAATGTACACGAAGAGAGATCGAGTGGCGTGCAATTGTTGTCGAGATCAAACGCGTTTACCGCATTACCCCTTCCTGTCCTTGATAAAAGTTTAATTTTCGCAACAAGCGCAAGGGGGGAGAAAGTTGTATGGGTATTTTACACTTGCAAGCAGAGAAAAAAAAAAGCATGCTCGAAAACACCCGAAAGTCAGCGCAAGGTATGTAGCTGCGGCGACGGCAAAGACTAAGTATATACACTTCTCTCTTTCTCTCTCTGCGTGGAGGCAACTTAAACGTCGGGAAAGTGTATATTTATATATAGGGTGTATAGGACAGACGGGAAAGAAAAAGGGTTGAAGGTTGGAGGCTATATACAGGTATACATTTATACAGACCTACCCGTGCAAGTACCTATACTTTTACTCCATTAGCATCGTACCTATATAAAAGTACGCGTAGGTTTGTATAAGTGTATACCTATATATTATACAAGAGACGTGGAGAAAAAGAGAGAGAAAAATTCGGAAAAGCGGAACACGGCTACATAAGTACATATAGGTAGAGTATAGAGTAACACATTGCACTCTGCAGTGAGTGTATATTTATACGTACAGAGAGAGGGATGGGAGTATGGGACAAGGGAAAAGCTTCGTATGGAATATAAGTGTACAGCGTCGGAGTTGCGCTTGCAAAGTGTTGTGTACACGTATATACGTGTGAGAGAATACAAGTATAGGAGTATAGGTAAGTATACAGAGGCGAGGATATTATTGATTTTTGTTCATTCATGTATGGGCGGACACACATTTTCAGTACCGACACTACCCACCCCTGTAAGTACAAGTCGTGCCTCACAAGTAAGTCATAAGGTGGTGTAAAAATATATGCTCATTACAATAATTTATAGTGTTTCAAAAAAGGGTACAATCCTAATGCTTTTCATTATACATAGTTATGTACACATACCTATAATTTTCTAAAAGAGCAATTATCTACCTAACTGCTACAAGTGGGAACTTGGGATTATTTCAATAAAATTCCAAAAGAATGTAACAAAAATATTTCAAACACACGGTGCAAAAGTACAATTTTTTTTTTTTTTTTTTTTTTCTCAATTCCCTGTACTAAAATAACGTTAATAAATTAATTATGTGGGATAAATCATCATTTTATTAAAAAAGTTATACAACTGAATTTTTTACATTTTACTTCATAATACATAGATCACCTATTTGAACTCTCTCAGCATAAAAAGCAAACCACCCCCGGCTCTTTGCGCCACCGCTTCTATCTTACAGCAGCAGCTATATGCGTGTAGAATGTATACATATAGAAACTACTCGATAAGCCTCGCCACTTATTCGTCCCCGTCGACTCCGCCAGCACCGCCATCGCTTTTCTCTTCCCATAGACATCAGAGTAGGTATACTATATACCCCAAGTAGACGGGCGTACCGCGATTCGGCTCTCCCTTTTGCGCATAGGTGGTAGATATACCTACTTATGTGTGTGTGTAGATCCTATTGTCGGACACCTTTAAGTGTGCGCCCGTGCCATTCCCCTGCATTATTAAGTATACCCCCGAATATGTAGGTGATGGTACAACGTCACAGTTAAAGCATCAGCCAAATCGAGGTAACCCCCGGGATTATACCTACACGCAGAAAAGAATTACAGGAAATTTTACCGTAAAAGCAACGGTAATCCTGTGATAATTTGTCATTACGTAAATTTTTACCGTAGATGTTCATGAATTTTTACCGTAGTTTACGGTAATTTTTATGGTAACTGTAAAATGTATCCAAAATTCACTATAATTTTTACTGTACGGCAACGGTAAAATTTCCCCTGAAAGTGCATATAGCTATAGGCTGCAGGGTCACGTGGGCTGTATAGGGAAGGGCTGACCAAGATGTCTACTGTAGTGGGCTATATAACCTGTATGAGAGAACGAGATAGACGTAATATCTGTATTACCGAAATCAACGTATAGATGAAAGTACGGGAATCTTTAATGAATGGCTATAAGCGCGAAGGAGTACTGCATCAAGTACCAATTCTATTAATGCAAATATCCGCACTGGTCTACAATTTGTAGGTTAGTCCGCGCTTTAGCAGACAACTGATCAGGTGTTCGGCCTTCCCCTCCAGCCAACGCGACCCTGCAGCCTATAGCTATATATACTATTTCAGGGGAAATTTTACCGTTGCCGTACAGTAAAAATTATAGTGAATTTTTCATACATTTTACAGTTACCATAAAAATTACTGTAAACTACGGTAAAAATTCATGAACATCTACGGTAAAAATTTACGTAATGACAAATTATCACAGGATTACCATTGCTTTAACGGTAAAAATTCCTGTAATTCTTTTCTGCGTGTATATGTACACACACACTCCCGCTATCCATCCATGCCGTGCACATATATATGGGTGCTCTGCTTGCTCGTTATCTCGCGGCCACCCTCCCGAACTTGAGAGATTTTTCTTGCTCGTGGAAAGCTGGAAGAATGGCTCTGCCTAGTGCCGCGTTAAACACGCCGAGGCGCGAAGCTAAACTGATTACAACTCCCGCAAGGACGCTTTCCTCCTCCGTGTTGCCCATCTCTTTTTTTTCTCTCTCTTTTCTTTCCTCCATCGACTTTATCGTCGTCTGGAGGCTTTTAATTTTTTCCTCCTGTTTCTCGTTAGCAAAAAGTATACTTACGCTACGCGAGCCCATAAGCGTTTGTTTATACTCGTAAGGGAGAAAATGTTCTGTAGCGTACCGTCACTTACTGCTTGCTTTCATACGTCATGATATAGTATTATATATTATACATGAAACAGCTCGAATATTTCTTTACCTCGCGTACAACACCTGTCGAGGATGCAGTATATGGCATACAATTATATTGTCATATAGTGTACATATAGGTCGACATGGAAAATGTTTTAAAAACCACCTCCTCCTCCTCCTCTCCCCCCCCCCCTCGAAGAGAGAAAATGAAGAATATTAGGGATATGTCTAAACATTTTCACCAACATAACGTCCCGCCTATAATAAATTATGCCATGCATTAAATGTACATTATCGACTGATGCCTTATTTTTTTTGTCCGTTGCAGATTTCTCTCTGAACCGGATCGGCCGGCCGGCGCTTCAACTGTAGCCTGGCACTCAAAATGCTGCTCGTTTCTTGGTAAGTGCATCTCTTGGCGTAACTCACACGGACACGCACACGACGCTTCGGGCTCCCCTTTACTTTGGCACGTAAACTCAATCCGCTGTATCAATCACTGCGAATAAGGTGCGCACTTTTTTTCCTCTCCTGTTATACTCTCGTCTCGGCCGCCGAAGGAGAATAACCCACGCACAGACGCGAATGCGATCCCGCTCGCTTTGGATTTGACGGCCGGGTCGGGTTGCAGCGCTGAAATTTTTCTTCCCCGCCGCCGCGGCAGCGTCGAATTACTTACCCGTGAAAATATCCTACCCGACGGGGCGGAGCTTCCGTTCGGTGCGCCAAACACGAGGAACAAACATTCCGATTTTTCGACATCTACAATTTTTCTTCCCTTTTGCTGCATACGTTTGTTGCTCGAAGGAAGGAAAAAACCAACCTTTTTGCAATAATCAGATTATTATTGGCTTCGGGTCTATTTGATCGTTGAAAAACAATAAGGCCAGATTGGATGATGATCCCGTAATGGCATCTTACGGTGTAAGTCACGAGTATGGAAATTCAACGAAAACATATATTATGTGTATGAAAATTCACGCGGGGGATAAACAAGCGCGTGTTTGTCGAGGGAGCGTCAGACGAGAGACAAATATGTATTGTAAAAACTGTTTACAAGCGGCAGCCGCAGTGTACTTATCGCCATCGCCGCCGATACGTCTCCCTCGGGCGTGCATGATAATATACTTACATGCTTATACACGTACACGAAAAAGAAAAGCCTCGTGTACCTCCTGAATTTAGATGATTTCGCCGTTAATTCCCAGTCTCCCCTCCCACAATTTTCTACTCTCTCTCTCGGTGTACACAGCGCGTGGTAGTCGTGTTGGGCATATACACGTATATAAATATATACTTGCTGTGTATGTTATATATAATACAGCGCAAAAGCCGAGCAGCGATAAATAATACACGCCCATATCTGACATCTCAATTTCTCCTCGTCCTCTCAATAAATAATGGGCCAGAGAAAGAGCGGCGCATGCGAGTGAGCTATAAGGGAGATAAAAGTGGGTTTTCTAGCTTTTCAGATTTACCCCCCCATGCACTCGGGTGTATTTTTTTAACGACGCCTTCCTCCCCCTCTCGCGAATAATATCTCTTCAAATTACGCTTCTTTTGATGCAGGACCTTTATATTATAAATCAAACAATGTGAATTTCGGACATCCGAGGGGCAGATATAACACAAGATGTTTTGCAAGCTGAACTGGTATACTCGTAACTAACTGCTCTTAAATATTTTTCGGAGTGAAAACCTTTTCCTTCATTTTCTTCTCTCACTTGATCCCATTCGGAGCTGCTCGAATACTATATACGTACGGCGCGTTTTTGTTTTGCCCGGAACATAAAAGCTGGATATTCCAGAGCGCGCGTAAGTATGGGCTTCTCTCTGAAAGAGACTTTTTTTTTTTACGATGTACGAATTTTTTAAAAGGTTCCGTAATTAGGTCACTCGCTCGCGCGCTCTTCAACTACTCTGCCTCGTTTTTGTTGTTGTTAAAGTAGTACTTATTCAACTCGAAGAATTGTTCAGTAAAAAAAAAGAGGAAATTTTTTCGTATAATTCAAGAGGTGCCTGTAGTTTCTCATATAAAATTTACGAGTTTTTTTTTTTTTTTTTTTTTCTTCGGAAAAAGCTCTAACTTGAAAAATGGGAATTTTCAGCAACTTTGGAAAAAATGGAGGTTTTTTAATACCGGCAGTGATTCCTAAGACTGTACGCGCATAGAACGTTCAGTCTTTATTATATCGCGGTAAAAATAATTTGAAGGGTGATTGAAAGGATTAACGTCGTGACACGACCGATCGTCATCAATATCAATCTACTTAAGAAAGTCAAAAAATTAAAAAAATTAATGGGCCCGTAGGGAGGTGTTTAGTTATTTGAAATTTAATTCACCTGTATAAGAAAAGAACGCGTCAGAAGCAATGGAGTCAATTTTTTTTTTCTGACTTACATGAAGATTTTAAATTTTGGACATAATAATATGTTGTACAACTCTTACGACGAAATTTCAAAAACATGTACGTGAAAAAATACTTTATTTTCCGAAAATTCATACCATATTTTTACACCACTTTTATTTATTAGCCTCAAACTGTTTTATTTCCTGTCGAAGGCAAGGTAACATTGAGGTGAATAATGCTCTCAAATATATTGTATACCATTGTATCGTTGACAAAGTTGTTATAAAAAAAAAAAAAAGAAAAATGTTTTTCGGTTCGCATGAGTATACAGGCACCTTTGAGAAGACACGAGAGACATTTTTCGCCTGACTACAAGAACACATTCTGCAGTTAATGGTAAAGAAATTAGAGAGGATTTTCCAAATGACAATACACAAACGAGTTGCGTACTTTGCACGACTCGTACGTACGTGCATGCACCCCGTTGCTGGGAGATGTAACGCGGGCTTTAATTTTTCCTCATTTCCATCGGGGGGGCAGCCGACGCGAAAAAGTTTTCGCCCCCCTCCCTCGCGCGGGTTTGTTTGCCCTCCAAATTGAAAAGTAACGCGGGGCCGAGCGAGAAAGGGCTAATGAAAACCGCAACCTTTCGCTAACAGCGAAATAACGAGCCCCCCCCCCCTCGATATACCCAACAGTTCAAAAGTAAAAGTGCGCCCAAACGCGAGTATAACAAGTGATGTATTGGCGCCTATATGTATACTTATGTACCAATAACCCAATAATATTTGCCGCACGCGCATCCCGGCAATTAACGCAAAGCCGGTGACAGGCCAAAGCATCAGGGCGCGACTAACGAAGGGGTTCTTCTCTTCTTCCCCACCCCAACACACACACACACAATCCCTGTACAGCTAAAACGGCGCATAGTTATCTTAGCCGCGAGCGTCTTCTCATTGACAGACAAAACGGAAAATTGGGCATCAGGGGAGCACCACCAGCAGCGACAACATATTTATATACCGTCAGTATAAGGTTTGACGAAGAGGGGGACAGCATCAGCAGCATATACTTATAACCGGGGGAGCAACGAAGGACGGGTTATAGGTATATTTAGGTATATAGTTGGGCTTGGAGCGGAGCTCGGGGGTCCCGAGTCGCCAGCGGCAGCAGCACGGCGGCGGCGACGCCTCAGCTGCAGCAGCAGCGACCCGGAGAGCGGCCGACAGTCAGGGAGGCCGAGGAGGCCCTGCCAGCAGCAGCTGCGCCGGCAGAGGAAGCTCGGGAGGAGGAGGAGGACCCAAGCCAGCGAGTTGAGGCGATCGAGGTAGACGAGGAGGAGGGGGAGGAGTACGAAGACGAGGACGACGACGACAACGACGGGGGAGAGCTGGCTGCGTGCGCCGCGACGACGAGCAGCGCGGTGGCGGCTGCTGGTGCGGGGGGCCCGGGCCCAGTTGTTGTTGCTGCTGGAAACACGAGCGCCGGGGTCGCGAGCTGCAGCCAGGGGCCGAGGGCCACGGCTAATGCAACGAGGCGCATGCCTTACCTCGGGCCCGACATGACCACCACGACCCGGCTGTCCGCCATGTTTTACACGGTCGAGGTCGGGGACACCAAATTCACCATCCTCAAGCGCTACCAGAACCTCAAGCCCATCGGCTCCGGGGCCCAGGGCATCGTCTGGTAAGACCCCATCATTTTTTATATATCTACCTACTACTCCACTTACATAATTAATATGCACTCGTCTAATTACATATCTTTGTCCGTACCCCCCCAGATTGTGAGCTTATTATTTTATTGAGACAACCATCGTCACATTTCTCTCATTCATCTGGAAAATTGTACAAAGAATTTTTTTTTTTTTTTTTTTTTACCAACTTTCAAATTGTCACAATCAATTTTACTTTTTAGAATATATCAATCGCATAAAAAGCTTTTTTTTTATGCCTATCGCTTGCAAAAGGTTACCAAGTTGGTACGAATTATGTGTACAAGCAGGGATGGCAAGTGTGGAATATTTATTAAAAAATCGGTCTACGCGCGCCTTTGCTCGGGTTAAGATAATCTTATAGGGGAAATTCGACTGTAAGAAAAGCAAATATCAGGGAGAGTATTTTTTTTTTTTTTTCATTTCTTAAATTTTTCAGTGGCGTGTGCTGGTGCCTTGAGAGCAACTTTACAGTCTAGAAGGAAAAGGGTTTTCAAGCACGACAGCTCTGATTTATTGTGTTGCGAAATAACGTTGGGGATCTCGGTAAATCTCAGCTATTTCGCTCGGAAGACGAAAAACGCTTCTACTTGGCCCAAAATAATTATCGTTTAAAACAAAGTTTTTAATTTTGTCGAAAAATACATTTTTTTTTTTTTCTTTCTGCAGAATTTCTTTCACACAGTGTCATTCCAATACACTGACTGAAAATTGATCGAAAAATCGTACTACTTAACTTACATTGTTATTTAACTATTTTATTTCTATTAAACCAAGTTAGCTGCTACTTCATTGCTCAAGAATTGAAGATAATTCCTTCTTCATCTCGAGAGCGTCAAAGTTCTAATTTACTAAGCCACATAATTCTTACAGTCAAAAAACTGATAGTAGTAGTGATACTTGAAATAAAGAAAATAATTTTGAGTGCCTGATCTTGCATAATCAAAAATGTCATACCGGAGAAAAATGGTTACAGATTCTCTAGATACTAATTTATGAAAAAAAAAAAAAACTGTAGTGTAGTCATCCCTGCTTGCTAATGAAATGTTAAAATTTGTTCGCGGTTTATAATTAAGATTAAAACCACGGTAGTGATGTTTTATTGAAATATGAAAAATAGTAATGTAATTTTGTCGTATGTTACGCAGCGCGGCATTTGATACCGGGACGGCACAGAACGTGGCGATCAAGAAGCTCTCGAGGCCTTTTCAAAACGTCACGCATGCCAAGAGGGCGTACCGAGAGTTCAAACTCATGAAACTGGTCAACCACAAAAATGTAAGTTCCAATTCCTAATGGCCCCATTTTTTTTTCTTATCCAATTAAAAACTTCCATTGGACAAGAAGAAGGAGAGTCTCGAAATTTGAAATTCAAATGGCCGAAACTTTTCCCTCCAATTATACTGATACAAAAAAAAGGAGAGTAGACTAATACACACGTATATACACAGAGCCATGGTGTACAACAGCAAGGATCCCTCTGTACTTGGCTCACACACTTCCGTCTCTCGACAATCCACATTCCGCGACTTCTTCCTCGTCAAAAAAAAAAAAAAAAATATGAATTCAGGCGAAAATCTGAGAGTTTCATCGGTTCTCGCGCGTGTTTTCTCTGTCGCAGATAATTGGGCTCTTGAACGCGTTCACGCCGCAGAGGACCTTGGACGAGTTTCAGGACGTTTATCTCGTTATGGAGCTCATGGACGCGAATCTCTGCCAAGTGATTCAGATGGACCTGGACCACGAGCGCATGTCCTACTTACTTTACCAGATGCTCTGCGGCATCAAGCACTTGCATTCCGCCGGAATCATACACAGGGTAAGTGTACGGAGACAAGACGCTTATTAGCATTTCCGCGTGCGGTGTCGACCCTTTTGCATACATTTCTCGCTACGACGCTTTTTTTTTCTTAAGGCCGGTTTGTTGCCGGAGACAGAAAACCGCAGCATACTGCCTGGGGGGCAACTACCCCCGATGACCCTAAATGCCGCATTATTCCGCCTCGTGACTTACTTTTTTTCTTCTTTTGCTAGACGTTTCTTCCTAGTAAAATAATTCACGGCGATGATATATAAACGAGTAACAGACGGCTGGAAACTCTTTTTTTTTTTTTTTTTTTTTTTTTTTTACTGAAAGTAGGTGAAACTTTGTGCTTGACGTGAAGAGCTATTTTCGTATTTTTCCGATCAAGTGGCACTTGTGACGTGGAATAAGTCAAGCTTTTGATGAATCGGTTTTTCAACTGGTTTTTATGACGATTTCAAATACATACGTGTGTTTGATCATCAGGACTTGAAGCCTAGCAATATCGTAGTGAAGTCCGACTGCACCTTGAAGATATTGGACTTTGGTCTGGCGAGAACGGCCGGCACGACCTTCATGATGACGCCCTACGTCGTCACGAGGTACTACAGGGCGCCCGAAGTCATTCTCGGCATGGGTTACAAGGAGAACGTCGACATCTGGTCGGTTGGCTGCATCATGGGCGAAATGATACGCGGCGGTGTTCTCTTCCCCGGCACCGACCACATCGATCAGTGGAACAAAATCATTGGTAAACCATATTATAATATACTTGCGTGTATATAGTCAAATCCAAACAAAATAAAATTCACTATCATTTTACCATGGTTTTGCAGAACAACTGGGAACTCCGGCGCCGGAATTCATGCAGAGATTGCAGCCGACTGTGAGGAATTACGTGGAAAACAGACCGCGTTATCCCGGCTACCCGTTCGAGCGGCTATTCCCGGATGTCCTCTTTCCCTCGGACTCATCGGAACACAATCGGTTAAAAGGTAACATTTTGTCTCTACGCCAAAGCCTCGATTTTTTTTACAATAAGTAAATATATTATACACATCTACCTAGTTGGAAAAAAGTTCATCCATCTGGTAATCGTTTTTTCTTGATTTCCCCCCATACATCCCCCAAAGTGCCGTGTTCACTTGTAAAATTGTTGTTATGTTACTTGTAGCGAGCCAGGCCAGGGATCTGTTGTCCCGCATGTTGGTCATCGATCCGGAACGGCGTATCTCCGTCGACGATGCTCTACTTCATAATTACATAAATGTTTGGTATGACGAGGGCGAAGTCAACGCTGTGAGTACATATGTTAACTCGATTAGACGACGCGACCACAAACGGAATATCGTGCTCCGTTTGGTGTCAAAGATATACTCTTCTTCAACCAATAGTCGGTTGGGTATTAAAAATAAAAACTGGTATTTCAGCCCGCCCCTGGACCCTACGACCACAGCGTCGACGAGAGAGAACACACCGTCGACCAGTGGAAGGAGCTGATCTACCAGGAGGTCATGGAGTACGAGACCAGTCACAACATCGCGTCCGCGTCGCAGTCGCCCGACACAGCTGGCTCCCGGTAGACTCGCGCGACCTTTGTCAGACCGCAGAATCGGCATCAAACAGTAGCAACGTTAATGAGAAAAACACGCCCTCTCTCACTGGGCGTTGCTCCCGCAGTGCCCCCGAGGCCCCCCCGGCCAAAAGTCAACAGAATGCTACCAGTCCCACCGAATGTTTAAGACACTCGGAGAATTACCTAATATACCAATAATCGTGATGATGTGTGTAAACGATTCCCTTTGTCCGCTTCGCGTGTACAGTTTGTAAGCCGATCAAATCAATCAATCGCAGGAGTGGATTCCGCCGACGGCGAGTTTTACCTTAGTCAACAACGTTGTCTCTTTCCTCAACGATCGTGCAATTTTTGCTTCTCCGAATTTCGTTTAACCCTTTAACCTCCGATAACCGTGCAATACTCTACGCGTTTTTTCGTTTCTTTGAATCAGGATCGCGTTCGTATCTATGTCGTTCCGTCGGCGCAATCATCCTGACGTCGTTTGCGGAGGTATTAACTGAAAGTTCCCCGTTGGTCCAAGAGATTAGAAAATAGTCACGGGAATGCTAAAGTTATAGATAATATATAGCCTTTGAAAGGCCTTTTGGCGCCGATATCAAGATGTATACGTATGCATTTATATAATCAGCTGTTACATTTTCAACTCGGCGCATTTTTTCCAGTTTTACCATGTTTGTTTCGTTTATCTTTCCTGTAGACGAAGAATTGTAATTCAAACGTAATTCACGATAGGTACATGTACTTGTGTGTACCTATGTAACGAAACCGACGCGACGTTGTCTGTCAGTGCTCGAGATCTCAAGTTTAAGTGGACGATTTAAGACTACTGTAACAATAAGTCGTGTTGTTACCTTGCATAGGTAGTAATGAAATTATCATTTATCACTATTATACACTATTAACAGTACTATAATGTAACGTAAATTACGACAAAAGAAAAAAAGATAAATAAAATAAGATCATAGCACCATTTACTAATTATGTATTGTATACTCTCTGTATCGTGAAGCGAGCAATGTAAATATTTTGAAAGAGGCATGAGTAATAGATAGTGCGGAAGCAATTTGTCAGATCAAGTCACTCTGGCATGTGTGAAACCGGAGGTTGCAGGCTTTTGATCCAAAAGAATAATAATATTAATAATGATTGTGAGGAAGAAAGAAAAAGTCAAGAAACACGTAATGAAAATAATAATGAAACACCCTGTATTTTTATACAAGAGCGTGTTTTCGATAAAACTACGTCCAAGTACTTTAAACAAATTTTAAAAATAATAATAGTATAAGAGCCTGCTGACGCGTATCTGTTAATGGTCGGTCGCATTTTACGTCGTAAGTTGTGTAAATTTTACCGAATCTGCGCGCGTTTGCGTAAGTTATTCTTTGCCACAGAAGCTGAGAAATAAGAAATAATAGTAATAATAATGATAACAATAATGATAATAATGAATAATCGAAGGAAATATAATCCGAGGCAAGTTAAATAGCTCCTCGATAATGTCAGCAGCAGCAACTTGCTCCGCGCAAATCAGAATCGTATCCAAGCAGAAAGAAAATATACTCGACAAGAGTGTCTAGTCTCTGCAAATCGTCGTGGTTCTATGTAGTTATATCTCGGGTTTTTGTTAACTGTGTCTGTAGAAAAATGTAACTTGAACTGTACCTTCCTTACCTTTTAGTCTCTCACTCTCTCACTCTTTATCTCTGTCACTCTATTTTGATCTTTCTCTATCTCTCAACTTTCTATAGTTTCAATCCGTAATCGACACACAACAGTGATCTTCTGTAAATGCGAAAGAGAAAAAAATATTTCTCTCGAGTGCCATGCATTTTTTTAAGTCGTGTTTTTCAAGTTGAGGCTTATTTTTTTGTTTTTGTCTTTTATAAACCTTACTGTTAAAAACACTAAAATAATGATAAAATGAAGTCAGCAGTAGTCAGACACGACATTCGTGCCATGAAGACTGTTATGTATACTCACGAGGAATGTTACGTTGTCGAAAAAAAAAAAAAAAAAAAAAAAGAAAAAGAAAAAAAAAAGAAAACTGGTGTAGGCTTAATTAGAAATTGCAATATTATTTTCAAGTAATTAAGTGTATAATGTAGAATACGTAGCGACAAAAGATTTAAACAAGTAGTTAGTTAATTAGCAAACGTACGTAGTTAAAAAATAGTAAAAGAGGCAGAGAGAACGTGGATGAATGTAAACATGAGAAATAACAAGTAGATGAGAGAAGAAAGGAGAGCGAGGGGATGAGAGAGCGACAAAAATAGTAATTAAAAAAAACTTAATAAATAAATAAAGAAAAGTGAACGATATCATACGAAAAAATTGATGCATGTTGTGAGAAAATATAGAGAAAAAAAAATTTTGTCGTGCAATTTTTGAGAAGTATGTTGAAAAATACAATGGTTTGTCTATGCATCATGTGCGCTCGTGTTGATGATTATGATGTTAGTATTGATATTAATGGATGATGGTGGAAGCCTGATTTAATGAGCCCATTGGTACGTTGCATCCAAAATTTGATTAAATCAGCCTTCTGATGATTTAAAGTAATTTGAGTGTGAAACGCACCCCGATATGCTTAGTGAATTAGGCCCCAAAGGTGATGGTTAGTGGTGGTGGTTTCGATGATGATGATTTAAGTTTGTATGGGCGCGATTGAGAAAAAAAACAACAAGAAATTATGTAAACATTGCGAACGTTGAATTTTTATTTTTCACGACGATAGTTATGTGAATATATTGCTACAGTCCGATCCAAATAATCAAGCTTTTGTAACACTCGATATAATAAAGTAACGATTATACTGCTAGTTGCGTAATTGCATAAATACATAGGTCATTTCTTTTTATTACTTACCATTGATTTTTTACACATATGTATGTAAATATATACAGACGCATCAGTAAACGTGCACCTTTACGCGTGCGACGTGGGGCGTGACTATTGCTCGCTACAGAGCTCATGTAAAAGCCAAAAAGAATGCAATTACTTTGAAAAGAAAAGATTTTAGGAATGACAGCCAGGTGCATTGCATGCCTAGTAATAAAATAAGAACGTGACATTTGATATTAACTGGAAAGAGACAAGTGCTGGATTATTAACAGAAGTGCCAGTAGCAGCTGGAAAACGGAATCGATGCGTCACTCAAACGTAGATATCGACAAACTGTCATTGCTCAGTGTCACGCGTATTGTTGCTCCTCTGCACATGAACCTCTCGCATTGGATACATAAACTATGTACATCACTGAGTACGGACTGGCCAGAATGCTTCTCGTTGTATACAGTCGTATAAAATTGCAATTTTCAATGACCACTGTATAAATTAATGAATAAATGAAAAATAAAAACTTTTATAGAATGACAAGTGACATTGACACATAAAATTGGACGCGATTGGAGAAAACTTCAAATATTAAAATTTCCATTAATATGCGCGATTAGTAAAAAAAAAAAAAAAAAACGGATCGTTTTTAAAAGATATTTTTCTTTTAAACTCATTTATTTATTTTTGGGTTTAATATAGTTCTCACAACGGTTCAGATAAAACAAGCAGTATTTTAAAGATTTACCTAAATACTCAGCTAAATTATGAACAAGAAAAATTTTTGTAGTTGAAACTTGGTTTCTCCATACATTTTAGATGTTGACCTACAGAATAAGAATAGCAGGTATTACATCACTAGTGTTCTAAAAACCATATATGTTTATATTATGAGATAGCAAAAATTTTATCCTGACTCTTGATTTCAAAGAAAAAATCGGAGAAACTGAGAATGATGTTTTATAGCAGTTTACAACTTTTTTTTAATGCTAGTAATTTTTGTGCACTCTTCTTATATTGGTGAGCTGTAGAACTTCGAAACTACAAATATCGATGCCTTTTACATTTACTCGTAGTTGAAATGCTGCAAGATAAAAATGTATTAACTTTGAAGTAATTAATATTATCATTAACTCATTCTAAGGTATGAGAGTAAATTGTGTTTTGTTGTAACCATGTTTATAAAAATACTTTTTTTTTCAAAAGTAGAGAAAATTGAACTACAACTTTTTGAAAGCACTTCGTATGAGTATGAAACATTATAATCAATCAATGACATGGCAGACTAGAAAAATTTGCAAGGAAAAAGATAAGGTGAGACGTGATTTAATGTTTCTATGCACTGTTTTCTTTATTTCACACCCAAAATTTTACAAGATATTATTTTTAATCGTCATCTTTCATTAGTTATTGTATGTTGATTTCTGCTAAAAATCAACGTATACTGTGGCAAAAGATGCGCGACATGTACTAAAAAATAATCTCTTTACGCAACTGCGTTTGAAAGAAACTTAACAAATGATAATAATCGTGGAAAAGTCACGTAGGGACAGATTTTATATTCAACCATCACAATCACAGCACCAATAAAATAGGCAAGCTGTTGGATCACACAGAACAGCTGACGCTCTCGTATGCCATTTTACACGATTCATCAACGAATACGTTCGTTCCCTGTTGTGCACGTAATACCAAAATCGCTTAATGTACCCGCATTATTAATCATTTTTCGTTTGTGATATTCGAAGTTCCAACAAGTCTCTTTTTTTTTTTTTTTTTACTTTCAAGTAATTGTAATCGCTTGCATTTTTTGACAAAATCTCTAAGGCCTGGCTTAAAACGACAGTCTACTTGCAAATTCGGGGGAATGTACGCTTGCTAAAACGGCTATACAGTAAAATTGTATGTATGTAGAAGACGAAATTGTGCGCTAAACTGCATACTCGCACATATTTATATGGGTAATATTCGGTAATTTTTTACTTTTCGATTATTTTCCGTCATGTCTTTAATTTATTCGCTTTTACATTATTTTTATGTACGTTTGTATACAATCGGTAATATTATACATATATGTATACGTAGGATTGATAAAAGTTAGTTCAGGCCGCCTTATTGGTTTACTCTGATGATTATATGCACTGATGGAACTAATTTATTTAGTTTCCACATGTAGGTACCTATACACCCTTTTGTCGCGCGATTTTCTATATGGATAGCGTTGGGTACTCCAGACACCGAGGCTCTATGGCTGGACTACTCAGAAAGAGAGTAATTTGAGTGGCTTGTCATTGGAAGCATATTTTATTAATTATTATACGATGAAAAACAAAAGAGAGTGACAGTGACGGCTCAAGTACGTGGCTACATGGCCTTTATTTGGCGGGGGTTACGTCATCTAAAAATCTGATCGATCAATATTCTGCCCAGAAACGGTAGAGATACGTAGTTTATCGGCATACAGTATAATTCATATAATTACTTGTATTCGAAAAAAATGTTCACGAGAAGAACAATAGGAAAAAAGCTCGATATGGCAGAGATGGTTATTTTTATTTCTGCTGAGTTTTAAACTAAAATATATTTATAGGTATGTACTTACAAGCGAGCAAATCGATTTTTCAAGAGAGCCCGCTAACCGCCCACTCCCACCTTCGAATTCTGTTCTCACCGCGCACCGTATCTTTCGTACTACTTAAAAATTCAACTCTCTTTCTGTTTTGTCCTTTTTTCTATTACATCGTGTGTATGACTACAGTACAATAATACCAAGAGTCACATAACGATTTACAAATGAAATAGGAAGTTTAGTATGTCTCTTGATTAAAATTATTTCACTTCTTAATTGTACGTACAGAAGACCTTGCGTCGAACGAATCCTTCATTTTCTCTTTTTCTGTCATACTGCGATTTTTTGGCACATACTCACAAGCTTTCAATCTTTGTCTTCTGTTAACCAATTTTTTTTTAATTTTAAAATTTTTTTTTCCTATCCAAAACCTTCAGTCATACATGTATCATAATTATCATATGCCGTAACAATGAAACAAAACGAGATACTCACAATAACAGACTCTGCAATAAAAATGAAATCTATAAGGAATGGCGAGAAGGATAAATAAATATATATATATATATGTACATTATCATCGTCAACGAGCATAAACACTAATATGTAAAAAAAACAGAAAAATGCATCATGTGTCTAAATAAATAATCTAAATATCACTCAGAGGATAAATACGTATTTAAAAAGCTCTGCGCTAAATAAAAATAAATGGAACAAAACAGAGATAAAAAAAGAAACAGCTGCCAATTTACTGGCACATTGTTTTCTTATACGTATAAAAATCAACCCTGTATCAACACTACAAAACCTACTTACAATTTTTCACGATCATGTGAATTACCACATGTTACATTAAAAAAAAAAAGTATTTTGACACTCAGTGTGCAAAGTTCAGTTTCTGATGCTTGGCCTGCCGAGCCTTAATTTTCGTACGTGTGAGGCTGTTGCCTTCGAAACTGGCTTTTATCTATGCCTATCACACTTTGACATTTTTTTTTATTCATCTCTCTTATTTTAGTAGATTACTGCGTTTTAGCTTTTATACAGGTTTTTTTTTTTTTTTTTTTTCCACAACAACTCGTGTTTGGATAAATTGAGCACATCCAACTGTACCTACTGAACTGTGCAACATCAGCCGGCAATCGTCCAATGACTATGTAAAAAGGAAACTTTTAAGCGTACGATTTGTTAAAATTCATCGATATGGTATACAAGTAGTGAAACCTTTCGCACTCGCGTCAAGAAATAGCCGGTGATTTTTTACTATTGTCGCTAAAATACAAACGCTTGTAGAAAAAAAAAATTACCTGCATTGCGTACCAAGTAGAGTTTCACAATGCACACACTGTTTCGGACTTTCTACAAAGCTCCCCCTCTTTGGACGAGGAGGAAAAAAAAAAACACGTGGTGGAACGACCTGCGTCACGTCTCATCATTGTTGTCTTGTTTTCTTTTTTTTTTCCATTCACTTTGAAGGGGCTATTTTTTTCAGCCCCGTTCGTTTGCCGGCACAGCGTAGCTGGCGGATCGATCGAGTAGTTCTCTCCTCGGGTCGGAAGCGGCAGTAGCGGCGCCGACTTGTTCCAGAAGAGCTTACCCGACGATCCACGGGAGCCATCAGCTGGGCTGCGCAGGCGGCGTCAGCCGGACCAGAAACCAGGTGTACAACTTTGCCTTCTTCTTCGACAGGATCTCGTACTGAAGGCTGTTCAGCCCGTCCGTCAGGAACCTCTTTCTGCCGTTCTTGAGAACATCGTACCTGTTTTTCCCAAAATTATTACTTTGAAATCACTTTTGTCTTTAAATACATATAATATAAATATGATACCGATTAGTCGGACTCGATGTGTTAACATTAACAGGCTCCAAGCATATACATAATTCAATAGTCAGGTTCGCTTTTGCTTTACGTAATGAAACATATTGAAATGACCTTTTTTTTTTTTTAGCACGCCTATACGTATGTCTCTCAGTTGTGACAGTGACGGTAATTCGAAGTGAAATAAATTGAAAGCTAATGTAGAAATGATCAAGGATTACTTAAGTTGCACAACCGATAAAACTCAATGAGACATTTCAAAGAGTACAATAAGTTTTATAGTGTGCTGTACGAGGACGGAGTTGTTCCCTTCTGCCATTATTTTTCGGAATTAAAAATGTATCGATGCACCTTATCTCGATTAAAAAGCAATATGGACTGATTTTTCGTTAATTTCTACCTCTAATATATGCTTATTCTGGATTAACTCAAAAAATTCCTTGTCGAATTAATTCGTGCTTTTGCAAGTTCAATATTATTGATTTTATACTTATGAAAGGAAAAATTGAATAATAATGTTCCATCAAATGCTCTAGGTTTAAACAAAAAAAAAAAATTTATCACTTCTGTTTTAATTACATACGCACGCGAGCCGCCAATTAAAAGTACATTGAGTGCTCGTTTTATTGGAGTTGGCATTATTCTCTTTGAAATATAGGCTCTGTATCGCCCCTATTAACACAAAATATATAATTGATGCGATGAGTTTAATTTAACTTTTATCATAATCATCATCATCATCGAAACTAAACGAAAAAACCTGTACTCGTCCTACTTTGAAATATTACGACAGATGTGATAAACTTGTGAAAGATGATACGCGCCAGATACAAAAAGTAAAATGTGTTTTTGAAAAAAGATTTTTTTTTTCTTGAAAACAAAGGCAGCACGTGCTGGCAAACAGGCCGCAGTACCTGCAACAAATGTGCCAATAAATTAGCAACAAGGTATTTATTTCATCACGTCCGTCTCTTCCAAAATACCTACACGTGTACACGTATACCTATAATAAAAGAAAACAGACTCTCGCGGTTGAGGTGCGAATCGAGGTGTTACGTCACATTCTCGAGTCTTGGAAAAAACTCACGCTTGCAGCACAAACGTGTCCGATTACCGACAGGTCAAACATAATACGCGGTTTCGCTTTTCACGGAATTATAAGCTTTTTTGGTTCGTTTATGTTTCTCTATAGTTAGTAAAATGTAAATGTAAATGGAAATAATTTTCTCCGACAATATAGATTGTGTATTCATAAATTCATCACTGATTTTATTTATTTATTTTTGTTCCCCTAATAATCTTTTCAACCGCAGTAAAGTGTGTAGGAGCGAAACAAATCGTGGGCATTTAATTTTAATTGCACCGGTAGTTGGAAGTGACACGTAAAATAAGCAAATTGAGGAGACGCGCGCAATTACTTGGTTCATTCACGCAACTTGGTGTGGGTATACGTGTGCAGTGGGATCTACGAGCGTATGTGTAAGCGATACGTCTGCCGAGACTCATTAGAGGTGGATGATGTTAAGTACAGCGACGAAAAATTTAATTCCCGCTGTACAAACAAGCGTACCACGCTTTGAAATATTCATGTCGAAGAGCCTAAAACACCTGCCATTCGGAGTGATCGCTCGCGATGTTGTGAAAAAAAATAAATCACCAAAATCTTAACCGATAAGTTGACCTCTGTTGGCTTGAATGATTGGTCGTTAAAAAAAAAGGGGCAAATCGTGAACAGAAGTAGCGTTTAGTTTTCGCAAGCCATAGGCATTTGGGAAAAAATTGCTTTCAAACTGCAAAATTGGAAATGGTAACATTTTACAAACGAATTATTGGAAAAAGCTTAAAAATCAACCTCCCTAGTGGTTAACAGCTAAGAATTAATGGGGTGGTGGTAAAAAAAGGCCTGGGATCGAGCACAAAAGTAAAAAGTAGGCGTGGCAGCGGCGGCTAGCTTCGTTACGCTCGTTGCTGGGCCAAATGCGGAAACGCAGTTTTTTTGCATTAATGTTTTTAGCCCTCGTTAGAAAAACTGCTAGATGGGCATATGCAAGGGAACGTTTTCATATTGTAATCTATGAGTGTAAAGTGGAATTGTGTCAAGCGTAAACATTTTTCTGGGCTCGTTGGAAAAAAGTGCCATTTTTATAAATGTCGACGGCTCGAAGCGACTAAACGATATTTATGTTTCAAAAAAAATTTCCACTCATCAAGGGCCTCCGAAGCATAATGGTTTTTTGTGTTGAACACAATAAAAGTATTTAAATAGCGCAAATTAGTGCAAAAACCGGATTTTTCGGAATTTGTAACGAAGCCACTAATAAACACGAAATTCTACTAAAAAAAGTTTAGGCTAAAAAATTTACGATGAAATAAATGGACGGTATGGGTAGGTAGGTAGGTTGGTGTTACGTGTATCCGAAATCGACTTACCGCTTGGGGTTGGCCTTTTCCTTCTTGTGCACGAGCATCTTGTACTGAGCTATATCCTTGGGATACCTGGAGATGTGTAATTTGTGGAACTTGAGTCGATTGGCCATGTCGTCGTCTTCGCCACCCCAGCCCCAGAACATGTTGCTGAAACCGTTAACCAGTCGAAAGTGCTCGGTTCTCATGGCTGAGACACCTCCGAATAGGTCAGCGTAGGGCAGCCTGTAGGTACACATTGTGTGAGAACTCCATAACTGTTAGTTATTAATTATTTTTATGTCTTTTGATACTAATACTATTTTAGTATCATTCATATAGGGAGGTACGACTACCGCTGATTCATTTTTTCAAATCCAACAGATGTAAATAAATATAGCCTTAGTGTCAGCAGAAAAAAACAATGACAGCGAATGGAGAAAATTGAACGCGCAAGTGCGCTGCGGGTATCTGGTTCCGCGTGAGGCGGTGCTCGAGAAATTACGTAAAAAAAATCCATTTCGATGAGAAAAAGAGCCATTTTCACGACATACTAATAAAAAGTTTAAAAAACTGTACGAGAAGTACTAATCGATTTTTTTTTTTTTTTTTCAGTTTTTTCAGTATGGTGAAACAATGTATTTTGTTTAGTTTTGTACTAAATATTAAAAAAATATTTTGTCCAATTTTTTTTGTCAACCTCATGTCTGAGTTAAAAATTCGAGGCCTGACAAATTTTTACCCAAATGACAAAATTTTTTTTTCAATTTTTTGAAATCCACACCAAATTATCGAAAAACAGAGAGGTTAAAAAATAAGCGATCCACCTCAAACATTTTACATTCACGAGATATGGAAGATGAAAATCGTTGTTATAAAAATTTTTGTTTCCATTGTAGAGGACTTCTAATAGGAGTTTTTTTACGTCTTTTAACAATTGCTCGCACGTAATAATGTAAGTACTTGATTATGCTGTTGCTGGTTTTGTGCGACGCAACGAATACATATGGGGAAAGATAAATGCCCACGAGGCTTTTTATCACACTGATGGATCATTTCGCTGATGCTCTTAATTTGATTTTACTGCGCCTCTTCTCTTTTCAATGTTGATATTATTACTATAATCGTATCGTCACATATTTCAAAGTACCTACATTTTGTTTTCTTTCAATTTCGGCTTTACTTGTTGTCTCGGCCTAAAAGCACCAGTGACAGGATGTCAAATTAAATAACCCACACCTACTCTGATTTCGAAAAATAGAAAAACTTACCACTCTTATTTTGTACTAACCAATAAATACCTCGATAAATACGTTCATCGACAGCGATAAAGAAGCGTGAACCAGAAAAAAAAACTTGCTGCGGGTTTGATAGGTGCGTGAATCGATGAGTCTATATGAGAAATTCTACGAAAAATCTGATATTTTGAATGTCTAAAAATTAAATACAATTTTCATATAAGCCTTAAATAAGTATATATATATATATAGGTCTCGCGTAAGCAATTCAGGTCTTCCCTGCATTTTTTAATACTTAATTTTAAATTAAATTTCACGATTTTTCTGACTTCTTTAAATCGTAACTCCCAAAGTTAGACAAAGTTGCTTCAGAAAGAGAAATAAAAGCTTCAATTTTCATGTTTGAAAAGTTTTGAACAGTGCCAACATTCATATTTATTGACACCCAAGTATCGATAGGACAAAAACAAATTCACAAATTTTATTGAATTTTTCTATTTTTAAGCTTCTTCTGTTTGTAACTTTTAACGTTGATCACGTTTCTCAATTATTCAAAAAGGAAATTAAAGCTTATCTCGAAAGTTTCTTTTTTCTTTTTTGAAAGACTCTGTACGACTTTCTGGGGTATAGTTATTGTCGAAAACGTGAAAAATACTCGTAACACTATATGTATATTATGATTTTTTGTTATTTTTTGTTTTACTGTTTTACCCATAATAAATATACCCCAGAAGGTCGTACTGAGTCTTTTAAAAAAAAAAAATCAAGCTTCTGAGATAAACTTTAATGCTCTCTTTGTCAGAAAAGTCAGGAAAATCGCGAAATTTAATTTTATACCAAGTATTGAAAAACGACAAATTTGAAAAAAAAAGTATCTGCCGAGACCTAGATTGCTCGTTCATTTATTCATTGTTCGAAATTGAATGTCATCTTTAGACACCGAAAATGGCAGATTTTTCGTAGAATCCTCACATACACGTCATTATATAGTGTGTACACATGTGGATAGTGTTATTTCGTTTTTCTAGCCCTTAATACTTGTTAATTATAATAATTTTACTTGCTCAGTAATGTACGGTCCCAAAAAGACTAAAATGAAGTTTGTTGTGTACGTCCTTGGAACTGATAAAAAATAGATATGTAAAAAAATATATCGTGATAAGTGGTGATTTTGACTTAGCTATTAGATAAAATTTGTTGAGTGAATAAATATCAATCATTGTCCCGAAGTTAAGGAAAAGAAAAAAAAAACTCATTCGGCAACGGCGCAATGTGGGTAGTACTACATTGAAAAACTTGAATTACGTGAAAAAATTCCCCTTTCCCTGATAAAACACTTTGTGTGAAATTCCACCTACACCTGTAGGTACTTATGTATAATTTATAATCACAATTCATTTGACATTACCACTTGATATTAGGTATAGACACATTATAATTGTGCTAATAATAAAAAAATATATTCATGATAATGATAGGTGGATATAGGTAAATGTATAATTATGTGTAAGCCCTTGCCTGTAGTTAAAAGTGTCGATGGCCATGGACATGTGCCTCGGCTGCTTCGGACAGTTGTAAATGTTTTTGTCGTTCTCGGGCAGCAAATCCACGTCGTGAAAGATGAAGCAGTCGAACGGCCGCTCCTTCAGAGCCTCCACGAAGCCGATGTTCATGAGCGTGGCTCGATTAAATTGCAAATTTTCTACGTTCACAGATAATAATAATAATACATTAGCTGTGTAAATATGATGCGTACACGTATACAGGGGGTGTGTCTACATATTATGCTTGTGTGAGATTATACTTAGGTATAGGTACATAAAATAAAAGCATATACATGTACATACATAGTTTGGTATGGAGGGCACCATACCAAAATAAGCTCGGATGAACGCTCTGCAGATGCAGGTTTCCGCGTACAACACGCGTGTATGTGTGGGTATATAGGTATATAATAAGAGTTTGAGCTTTTGGCTATGAGGGAACAGGGGCCCGCGGTAGATATTATATATTATATACCTAATAATAATAAGGCCATGGATTACTCGAGCCAAGAGTAGGTATACGCGTTCGTATAAATAATATACATAGAGGTATGTAACATATCCACGCGCAAGTTTCACAGATATTTTATGGGTATCGATTAGTGTGTGTATGTGTGCGTATATACGGGATTTTGGGATGTGAGTATGTGAGTAAAAAGAATAAAACGACTATCTGTAACCGTCCATATTTCGTCGTATAATGGCAGGTTAATTCCTGAATCATATTTATATATTCGGTTGTGTGTACGTAAGTACCTGCACGTAAATTATTATAGCTGCGTAAAAAAAATAATTGGCAAGTGGATAATGTACTATTTATTATTATACATCCCGCGTGTGTAACTAATTAATTTGACTTTTCGATTTCTAATCGTGTGTTTTATTAAGTACTGTGATTCGAAGAGACACGCATGGCAATAGCTTAGAAGGTCACGTGAGTTGGTTTTAGCGGGATATTTTATCATAAAATATCAAATTTTTCGAGCGACCAAGTAATAACCAAATTCCTTATTGGAGATTGAAGATTATGTGTGTCATTCTCCTAAAAACGGTTTATTTCATGCCTCAGTCGATTTAGTACATCGTCGTGTGAGGAGATATCGATCTGAAAACTTTATTAAGTAATCAAGGGAGGTTTGCTGTCAAATACAGCAGAATTTAGATCATAAAACAAATTTAATGTTGCTCCGGTAAGTGCTCTCGCAAAATATTTTCAATTTTTCCATTGCAACCGTACCCATTTCGTTAGTATGGCAATATTATTTTTTAACAAGGAACTAAAAATCATAACATTTTTTTATCACTTAAAATTAAAAAAAAAAAAATAATAAAATCAATACCCCGTTTTAACCTTTGAAATATTCCGTTTTTCGTAGAATGATACATACATATACATGTATTTATACATCAGTAGTGATCGGTTCATAGAGTCAGAAGACCTGAACGAATACGCGGTGCCAAAAGCTTAACATTATTTTTTCTTTATTTTCACAGGTGCGCAAATCGCGGTACGATTGTGCGAGTCATATTTTTCTTCGATCACGCGTACTTTTTATCGTATCTATAAACTTCTGTTAAATTCGTATGACTACTAGTTGATAAATTAAGAAAAAAAAAAAAAAAAAAAATCATCGATATAAATTAAAAATGCATCCATCTCAATGTGGATAAGTACATCACATAACAAGCGATGTTCGTATGAATAGGATTGCTAATGAAGCAAGTAGTTCCTCTGTGTACTCACTTTCTTGCTCGACGACGAAGATCTGGTAGTCGAGCTGCTGGCGCAGCAGCATCGGATGTAGGTTGTACAACAGAGTCAACAAGTGCTGGAACCTGTCGCGAAACGGTATGACGATCGCCACCCTATAGAGCGCCTGACACTCCTCCGGGGCACCCTTGCCGCCTTGTTTCACCTTGGCGAAGGCCTTCTCCATCTCCGCCAAGTCCGGGGGCGACGTGCTCACTGCCACGTGGCCCACTGCCCACCAACCGAAACAATACATCATACAACGTGAACAACAGGGCCCACTTATTCCCGTATCATCTACGTTATTCGCTAGCCCCCCTCGCTCCCTTTAATAAGTATACACGGGTGTTTTTTTTCATTATGCTCTCGTCTATTTTTTTGTGCAGTATAACCTCGGACAATGCAATCAATTTGTATAGGTACATTTACCAGCGCGGATGCTATTATTTTTTCCTACGGTGTACGTATATGATATAAATATACGCGCGCATCAAGCATTTTAATTGCCGCGTGCGCGTAGCAACGGAGCGGCTATAATTATAAGGTACAGAGAGAGAGGGAGGAGAAGGAGGAGGAGGCCCTTTTGTAAAGACAGTGGCGTCACGCGAGCCCGACCGAGTAATCGAATCGCGAGGCTATATACATATGTCATACGATGGAAAATCCATTTGGATGTATCTCATTGAGGCCAATGGAAAAGTCATTCGAGTCCGTGTTCTTCGAATCGGAGCATTCATAATACGTAAAAAATTTGTACCATTGGGATCGATTCCCTGATTTAGCGTCACTACCACTCGGCCTTACTGTTTTATACCTATAGACCTATAGAGAGAGATGCTTTTAGCATAAATATAGCAGGAGTTTACTAAATACCCTTGAATTTGGGAAATCCCCAGCTATATAGGTATACGTGATAAATATTGTATGGGGTGAATATTACCGAGATTCGGTGGGGTGGAGGGACAGGTCAAGTTGACGGTCGTTGGTGTACTGCTGAAGCCGTTGCCGCTTAGACTCGTCGGCTGCGGGTGTGCGGCTTCCTCCTGCAGCGGCGGCGTGTTGGACGCCGAGCCATTGCCGAGCCTCGACATCGGGGCTATGGTGCCGCTCGCGTTGCCGGGGCCGCCGACTACCGGGCCGGGGACCTCGTCATTTTCCTCACCGCCTGTCGAAGCTGATGGCGTCACGCCCGAGTCGTACACCACGAAGGCTCGCTGGTGCGGTGGCCTGTACAAAATATAACCCGTCATTCATTCGAGTATACCTTTACGTTATTTACTCATTTTCAAGGAGCTCCACAAAAATATATGTATATCAATCACATCATAGGGTGCAGGTTACACCCACTTTGGGTGCATTAAAAACGTGGATGCTTCCGTGTAAAACGGAGATATCTAAAAGTTTGCGAGTAANCATATCGATGAATTTTAACAAATCGTACGCTTAAAAGTTTCCTTTTTACATAGTCATTGGACGATTGCCGGCTGATGTTGCACAGTTCAGTAGGTACAGTTGGATGTGCTCAATTTATCCAAACACGAGTTGTTGTGGAAAAAAAAAAAAAAAAAAAAAAGAATTTATTTTTAACTTAAATACATGATGTTGTCACCACAATTTGTGATCGGGCGAAAATTGTGTGACAGTCGTCCCCTTTCGTTCATGATTTTACTTTTTCGTATAAATTTGCTATGATTCATATTTTTCAGGAGCATGTATAAGACATCGATCCACAAAGTATACTTATTGGTTAATCTATGCATTCTATATACGTGTTCTACATCAATAGTGGTCTTGTCGTTTGTTGACAAGGACGTGTCTGACTGAGAAATTATTGTTTAACAGTTTACAACGTGCGAGACAGTGAGTGTACGCGAAATGTGTATTTTTTTTCTTTTTTCCTGTTACGCTGTTTTTACGAGAAGCAAACTTCAGATATTATCTTTGAACTAGATATTTCTTTGCTGATTCATACGATAACTAACTTACACAAAAAAATCAATAGATAAGAGTTGGGAAAAATGTACAATGCAATGAATTAGTACGGAGCACACGAAGAACACATCACTAGGTATATTGACTGACGTCATTTATTTCGACATTGACAATCACCATAAAGATTACAAATTACCAGTTACATATAATTTCATAGCAATTTTTGTCCTGGATAAAAGAGATTTTTAAATTATCTAAAAAGTCGGTTTGATGTTGCTTATTGTACACAATACTTATTTATCCCTATAATTTATCTGATATACATCCGTTTCCGCGAGTCGCATCGATCGATGATAAAATGTGTTTACAAACGTATGAGACGCACGTAATAACACGATGTAAACTATCGAAATGCCATTTTAATGAAAATTTATGTCTGTCGGTATACGAGTCTGAGCCAATAGCGTTAATGTAAATAGTTGCATCTGGATAATTTTAGGTTCCCGTAAATCAATAAAGTATATTATCATAGGACTTGAAATTTTTGTTTTCGATTCTTTTTAATTCATAGAAAATGATGTACCCCACATTTTTCGACGCGCAAATCTGTTTGAAATAGCATGAAAGTTTTTTTTAGTATTTATTTTTTACTCCTGCTGAACTCGTTTAAGTGACTCACCGGCTGGTGTTGATGGTGAAAATATTCTCGATGTATTTCCGATCGAAGGCGCCGTTGAGTAGATATTGCAGGGCAATGAGGATGCAGACGATGCAGAAGAGGAACTTATAGATGTTGGCCCGGTGCCATGGAGCCACCGCGGCTCGAGACACCGTCATCGCATTCACGCGACACCATCACCACTAGCATTGGGTACCGGGCCTATTGCGGGGTATAGGCAATATGGGTATGGCAAGTCACGGCAGCCCCTTTTTCTTCCGCCGTCCCCTATCTTGTTTATCCGCACTTTTGAAATAAAGTGCCCTTTTCTCGTCACGTTTTACGTCCGTCCACTACGTTACGTAATACCTGCGGGTGGTGCTGGTGGTTACGATGGAACCTGCGAACAAAAACGCGGAGCAACTGCTGTGAGCTTACATTTATATACCTAGGCACGCTTACCTATACTAGCTTTTGCGAAAACAAAGAGAGAGAGAGAGAGAGAGATAGAGACTGTGTGTCTCGTGCGTAAGATCCGCACACTTAGGGGTATCTACACTGCAGAGGAAACATTTTTTGGATTTAATTTTGATTGTGCTCTAATTTCCTCCAGATAAAATCGAAAAAACAAAGATTCGAGGGTCTGTTGGAGGGCACCACTCGGTTCTTTTGACGTCAAATATAAACAGCGGAAGTCATACTTGTGTGTACCTACATACGTTTATAAAATATAGGTATAGGTATACAATGTTATGATGCTCGAAATACAAAAGAGCAGCTTTTTCTTACGCAAGCGTTGCAGATATCATCGATTATCGCTTCAGATGTAGCTTTAAATATATTTTTTTTTTTTTTTTTTCCCAAACATATAGCTAGTAGCAGCCTATACTTGTGTTGGATCATCTTTCAAGCGCCATTGGGGACCCAAAAATTAAATCTTTGTACGCCTATACCTATTACCTGACCTATACATAACATTTCTCACTTTATTGTGTTTATCAATTTTTTTTTTTTTTTACTCCTTATGACTTTTATCAATATTTTGCATTTAAAATCACCGTTACATGCCATATAGGAAATAGCAAAACTGTCGGTGCATAATGGTGAGCGCGTGCTCGCCGTCGCGGTGTACGAGCGCAGCTGGCAAATGGGATTTAGTTGTGCGGGCATTCAATTTACGTCTAAACTACTTTTTCCTGGACATACAATCTACCGAGCGACATCACGTTAAATGCCATTTAATAACGATATATATAGTATAAATTTTAAATCTCGATGGCTACATATATTTTATTGTGTACGAATAACATTATTTGGATTTGTAATTACGCCAAAGTCAAAGACTGTACAGTTAATAATAATGTTGGATATTTATACATTCCCACCGAAATTATCCGGCAAAACTATAGACATGCTCGAGTTACCAAACATAGCAATGCACGATAATCAACCGTCGGATGAGTTTTTTTTTTGAAACTTATGCTCTCTCTGGTATAAACTACAGTAGAAGATAGGGGGAGAGAGAAAATTATGGTACGTGTTTATCGAAAAGTCAACTTGTATGGGCACTCGAAAAGAAAAAGTGACACGAGTCATCGTTTTGAGCGCTCTTTCAATAATGGTAAGATGGCACACGCACCTACGCGTACCTACACGGATAAAACGGTATCTTTTAGACATCGATACTTACAGTTCATCGCCGATATACATTCCTTTTCGACATCTCTTCCTTGAACTAAACGAATGGACGATAAGTACGCGCGGGCGTTCAACGGCTGTTTTTTTTTATCACTCACGGGCTCGTGATAACACCAACTCGAATGTACACCTACTATATAATACCTATATATACGTGAACGTCATAGGAAGGTACACACAGCGCATACAAGTATACACATTTGTGTTACTCCACTCCTTTTTTTTCGGATCATCGGGCTAATCTCTCTGTCGCGTCCAGAGAGAGCGTATATCCGAGAGACAGTAGCTTTTATTTGAATGTAATGCCACGCTGTATATAATATATCGTATACCCACTCGGATAGCTGCGGGCCAGTGGCTCTGGACATTTGTGACATTTTTATTGCGCTGTTTACTGTCTCATCCGAAGCCGCGTGATAAGCACACGCGACGAGTGACAAAACGGGATAAAAGCGCCAAGGGGCGGACGATGCGCGTGTCGAAACTGTCGCAGATGTCAATCATAATGTCAATACGCAGTTTTTTTGGCTTGCGAGCCAAAGTCATTTCGAGTGATTTATCTCGCGCTTCTTTGTCCGCGTTCCCGCAAGGGGTTTTTTTTTCTCTTCAAGTACCTGTATCGTATCCAATGCAGATCGGATGACCGGGTCGCGGAAAACAGATGCCAAATATAAAAACATCGGATGTGCATGTACATTTTCACTGGCTTTCCCCATTTTCTATTTTTAAGTGGGAGCCATTTTATGTAGTCGTCGAAACAACTTGTTGACGCGACTGATCGATGATGTTATCGAAACTGGATGTCACTCAACCGTCATGTTTTAAAATTTTCCGACATATATGAAGCTCCTCGGGTGTATCCGCCACCTATACAACATGAGGGAGCGATGATCTCATCATCGTGTGTGACCGAAGTCGAGCGCGATAGAGCTAATCGGAAAAACGTAGCATTTCTTTATTGTGAAATCTGCTTACGTGTCTCGCTGTTAGTCCAAGGGGTATGAGTTTGATAAACTATTTAGGGAGTGCTAGTCGGGAAGATTCTATCAACTCACACAGCCGAGAGTTTTTTTTGTTCGATGGATAAAAACAAGGCAAAAATGTAGCAAAGAAATCCATTGTAGTTGTACTAATGGATATTACGACCGCCAACGCAGAGCAGCGCAAAAATAAAGGAGAAAAAAAACATTATTTACGTCACGTCAGGTACACGTGGCGTCTTAATGACACGGTCATTTTATCGATTTTTGCGGTCACCAAGGCGTTGAAAATCACTTTTGTTTTTTACGCACGACTGCCTTCCCTTGAAAAATAATTTTAAAAATCCACGATGTTACTGTGAAGCGCGTGCCGACGACTCCAAAATATATAATTAAATTTAAATAGTTACGAACGGGATACACAAATTATACAAAAATACTCCATTCCGACCAACAACGAAGCGAAACAAAGAATATTCTTTCGAGGCAAAAAAATCAAAGTACAATTAAACTATTTTCAAGCTTCGGCCTATCTTGCGGCGAGATTGAAACAGCACACATGCATCACGCGTTTTTGTAGGTACACGCTATAAATTGTCGATTGCACGTAAATTGCGTAAGCACGAGAGCAAACACTTGAAAATATAGTGTTTACTCCATTTTTCCGCATCTATATATTATATACGTGCACATTATAAATACCTGATGGATTTATCCGCACGCGGTTCTGATCGAGCGTAAAAATTATATCTCACCTCGTAAAGCTGCTATAGACGCCGTACTATCTACACTGGGGCGTATTAAATTTGTGTAGTTATTGGTACGGCAGTAGTGTCACGCCAATCGGTGCACAGAAGTGGGGGCCGATATTCCAGCCGAGCAGTAGGCATCAGCTATCAGTACACCACGTCATTGTCAAAAACCACTTGTACTAATGAGAAATTGATTGTTCTCTTCTCTTTTCTCTCTTTAAAATAATATTTATATACGTATATATGCACTGTTGGAGCTGCGCGCCGTACATTATTGTTTTCGAAATGGATTCCACGCATCGGCGACAGGACCTCATCGAGAAGTATTGCGCTGCTGACCGGCATAAATAATGCACACGCGCCTGTTACTCGGTTTCATTGTTACGCAAATATACATTGAATGCGCGGCGTGTATACGCGCACGAGGTGATATCACGTATATAGGTGTATATATGTATATATATGTGCATGAAAAAAAAAAAAAAAAATAACAATAATAAAAGTTCCTTTCACTACTATGCCTTTCGCCTCGCTCGTTTTTGAGAAACTTTCAAATCGAACTAATTGTTATTTTATATATACCTATACGTGGAATTACTCTTATCATTCCGCACACCGATATAGACAAACACATTTTCGTTTGTGATGCACTAAACGCACGTTTCTCCCAATGGTTAACGTATATCGCGGCTCTTACTTTGAGTTTGGATACCTCAGGTACAAAATATTACATTACAACGCTTGGAGTAAAAATTATCACCTGTATAGGCAAGAGTTTTCATAATGCGTGCACACGTCCCCTACTTAATACGATGATCTATATTACATTTTTCCGAGTGTATATACCTAACACGGTAATATATATATATATAGATCCAAAAGTATACTATTGAAGAGCACATCTATCCCTCCCCTGTTATAACTTTTTGATTCACGTATTCACGCACACGAACATCAGTCTCCTTTGGCTGTCGTATGAAATTTCCCGGCAGATATACTTGATACCATTGGATTTGTATGGCAATCGAGATAGACGAGCCAGCACACAAAGAGAGTGAAAATCACAAGGGATCCCGCCGAGTTTGATTTACGTCATAGCCATAACATTGCGGCTTGTGTTATCTTATAATTTCCAACAGTGGGACCCGGCGAAGCGCAAGACTTTGTCAATCTTGAATTGAAGTAATTTGAATGGCGCGAGCGTATCAATTTCATTTTATCTCAAGTACATCCACCGGCTCCGAACAACGCGCCGAGATATAAATTAATATCACATTACCTACACGGATAGTCATTTAAATGAATGAACAAAGTACTTTTCGTTTCATCGCGTTGACCATCGTTGCACCAACGCGACCTCGTTTTCATTAGCTTACTTTGCGCTGTTTTTTTTTTGTTTTGTTAGCTTCCCTTTCTTCTTTTAATTGGACTGCTTATATACCAACCTGTATAGTGCACACAACCCACCGTGTAAGCTGTATACACCTTGTACACGGATGAGCGAGCGCGAAAGTAAAATGATGAGCTAAACTATACACGGCAATTCCGAGGAGGCACGCGCCAATCGCATGTATGCGTAAGTACGGGGAGTATATATTATGGTCGGCTCGATGAATCCGCGCGATAATTAAACACTTGATGGCCCAAGCGAGCGCGCGCGGAAAGATTATCCGTTGTTTTGCTATTTACGGCTTATATATTATATATATACCTACACATCTAGTTTCGTATTTGTACACATTTTATATATTATTGGTAAATACCTCATATTTGCCAATACATTATTCGTATTTGTTACGATTAATATGCACATTTATTTGCTTCCGGTGTTGATTTCTTTTTCTGCTTGCTGGTGTGTATCAAAAGGTGCGCGCGGAGGCCTATGAAAAAAAAAACTAGCCCCGCGCGAGGGAAAACCGGACCGTCGAATCATTGGTATTTTCTGTTTTCTATTTTTGTTTATTTGCGCCCCAGTATGACAAAAAAATATTTGTTCCCCTCTCTAAAGACGTGATGATTGTTGTTGCGCGTACGCGTGCGTGGAAAAAGTTTTTTTTTTTTTTTTTTTTCATCGAAAGAGCTTTTTTGTAAGTTGTTACAGATATTTGTTATTATAGATACCAGATACGCTTCATAGATTCATGGAAAAAATAACTCTGTGTAGGAACGAGGCACGCGCGTGAGATACGCTGTTTGTATATGAAAGTTATCCATTAATTTGTGTTGCTCGGGCAATTTTATAAAAATTGCATTAAAAGAGCCTTGCTATTTGTCGCAAAAGCTTATCCTTGGCGTACGGTAATTAATTGAAAGTCGAATGGACTTTTTCTTTCTTTTTTTTTTTTTTCATCCTCGTACATATTGTATACCTACTCTTGGAATTTGCGCTATATTTTTCATTTATCTTTCTCTCCGTGTCTCATCGAGATATTATTTATGCAACTCCTTGTGTAACTCAAATAGATGCAAAGCAGTACTTAGGTATACAGTATTAAATTAATATGCCAACCATATAATATATTATATGATTACCAGTATTACTTGTACATTCACACAGTACACACACATGAGTTTTACAAGCCCCACTTTGTACATCTTGTGTAAACAAAAGTTTTATGCACAACCTTTGCACGCACGGGCTTTTCATAGAAAAAAAAAAAAAAATTTTCTCACAATAAGCACGCAATTACTCGAATAGCACTGTCTTTGTGAAAAATATATATCAGACTTTGTTCGTAACATACCTACGTACCATACGGAAACAATTTGCGAGAGATAAGGAAAAGAAGCTTTAATAGTATATTATATTATAGGAGCGATCAACTAGACTTCGATTTAAAAAAAGAAAAAATAAAATCACGCGCGTCAGATGTACAAGCGCACCGCTCTGGGTCATAAGTATATACATCTATATGTATTAGATAGACGAATGACTTACCGATTTACCAGCGAATCGTATGTTATAATATCCAGTCGAGCGAGCAAAGCTGCATTAGTTCAATTAATCCCTTAACTCTTGGCTTGGAAAAACCACCTCTACCCACGCCACATGGCAATTAAAGCAATAGACAACCCATCAGAATGAAAAAAAAAAAAAAAAAAAAAAACTACTGTTTCCAGTAAACGGCTAATCGGTTTACCGTATATCATATACATATACATCTTACGGGGCGCCAAAGGGTAAAAAATAATTGGCAATGATTGAAAATGAATGCGACATGGTACTACATCACAATAGGTTAATATAGCGGGAGCTGAAATCCTTTCATACCTTTATAGGTACGGACCACCTTCTCTTTTGTGCACACAAGTGAGTGTATATTTATATACCTATCACGTGCGAATTTATCCGGCGGTAGGTATTGTATCTACATGGTAAATATAAGTCGACTCTCGTGAAAAGACGAATCTCACAAATTCTCTGACCCGACAATTGCTGAACCCTGCAGTCTTTCTCGGCTCGTATGCTCAAGTACTTACTTATCATCATCATCATCCTTTTCAAAGGGAGAAGAAGAGCAAGATGAAAAAGAAGTATACTTACATACATGATGCACCGTATACGTATGTATAGTCAAATGAAAGAACCGAAAAGGTCAGGTCGAGAGTCTATATGCTGTACACTTTGATTGCACGGGCACATAATACGTGTGTCACATACTATATGTGTATTGTGGCAAGTGCCTGACACTTGTCTCGTGTACGAACAAGGCTAGAAAAAAAAAAAAAAAAAAAAAGTTGTTTTTTCTTTTTCTTTTGGCGGTGTACCTAAAAATAGAATAATAACAAGGAAAGTACTATGAATAGGCGATTTGTGCGCAAGGCCGATTTATTTTTGTTTTAATAACTTTGCTTCAAGAGATAAAAAAATTGAAGTACTTGAAACGAGCCTCGACGTTCCAAAAAAAATGTTTGGCAATAAAAAATACGGAATACACCAAACGGGGTAAATACGTAAAACTGGCATTTTTTTTTTGTTTCCCAACAAGTATAAGAGGTTTTCTCTGTCACGGAGAAGTGTGCGTCCGAGCATCATCAGCGTGCCCATAGCAGCAGAGGACAATATTAACGTGCAGCCGCACAGCATCGGCCAGCAACGGTGCCAGTGTTGCTATACACAGTTTATCTATTATTTTTGTCATGACGCGCGCGTGTCCCTGCACTGATGCACCTACTTACATATATATATATTACGTATATTGTTTAGAAGTTGATACTACTTACATTACTTGAGTATTAAGCTGCACGTTAAATTTGATCATGTTCTACGTATCTATTTTTATTTTTACCTATATACTCAGTATAGAACTGGTTACTTTTATATCGCGCTCTCTCTATAACAAGTGGTGCGGAACCGTTGGGACACGACACCCTCGGTTTTGTTTAGTTTTTCTTTTTTTCCCAATGATTCACGGTGACGTTGCACAAAATTTCGAGATAACATCGAAATAAAGAATAATTTCGGTCCGGTTTTTTTTTTTTCATGTCGATGAATAAACAAGTTCCGAGTTATTTATAAATCACACGACCCCAGAAAAACTACGACTGGCCAGTTGACACATCACGTTCAAAGTGCACTTTCGTCATCTGCCGTCCTTAACAGCACAAAACATTATCAAGTACAACGTTTTTGTTGCCGTTAGAATTGGATTAAACGGAATACCGTGGTTTTGACGAGCTCCATGCGCATTTGCTCTTGAAAAATAAGCATCGATCTCTTACGTTACTCACTATTGTTATTATTATTATCATTGCGCACAACAAACTTTCACGATGAAAATTATATTAAATATTATGTGGCGCATAGGGGCGACGGTAGTACGTAACTTCCTTTTTCAGCAGCTTACGAGAGTTTGTCTATATTTATATTAATACACACATATACCATAGGCTGATGTACCGAAAAGAAATTATATACGCACTACACCGCCCCCGACACAAGTAAGTTTACACATATCAAAGGAATACCTATACGAGGCGCCTACTTTGTTCACCTGCATGCACGGACGCTCCGAGCGATTAGGTCATACCCCCTCGGGTCTCACGAACCCTATATAAATATTATATATACACCTTTATTCATCTATGATTGTGGGCACAGAATTGGGCGCACTTAATTTAACACCTAATATCATAAGTCTCTAAATTTTGTCGTTATTGTTTGGATATACATGCATACATCTGTAAAGTATATTTTTTAATGAATACTAAAAATCTAGGTATAAGTAAGTATGAATCACACAGAATATTATAATAATATGGCTAAATGAGACGGCCTTTCCCCCCATCATGCTCTTACGAGGCGAATTATGGATTGGTGTAAATACCTATGTCGTTGATACATTAATATAATTGTAACTGTCGCGGTAGTTCCGCGATATTGCGAGACTCGGAAGTCCTTAGTACGAGTACAATATTATCGATTGAATCAAGTGGAGTGTCATACTGTTAATATAGGTACATGTGCCTAATATGAAATCAGATGGGAAGCACGTTAGCTGATTTACAGGTAGAAATTAAATATATCCGAAAGGTTGTTACTTAATTTTGATATCAGAGTCGAGAGTAAAGTACATGTTATTATTAGGTACGTAGGTACTTTTTTTAAGGTACGTGATGGTACATGATAATACATACTTACATCCAAGGCGCAGGTAAGGCTGCTGGTGTGTTGATAAGAGAGCGGTCGCTCGCCGAGAACGTGATGGGGGAGAGAAAATAAATCAAGGTCTACTGGTTAGCGATGCAACACTTGCACTTTCGTCCGCTGATAGTTTCGGAGTTAAGTATATCTATACTGATCGGAGTTGAGCTGCAGGTTCACATCACCTCACTGACAATTGGATTTTAGTGCACTGATCTATACCCATAGCCGTCAGAAATTAACTCTCGCACGTGAAATGTGAAAATCCAGGATGACAAGCAGGTGTAGGTAATATGTATAAATATAGGTACAAAATTACGTGATAACACCCTACATTGGATAGGCGTACCAGATAGATGTATGCAATGCGAACGGCGGATTGGACCTACTGCTACGCACGGAATTGATGATACAGGTATTCAGAGATTGCGGAGAGCAGAGGAAAGCACGTTATAAGGTACACTTGTATCATTTATACACTACATGGTATGTTTGGAGTATCTGCAATGTATGTCCACCCGGGTATACATTCTATCCCGATACTACGTAGAACTCGTTATTAACACGAGAGATATTACGACGTAAGATGTACTTACTTATGTTGTGTTATTGGTAAAAAAAAAAAAATAAATAAAACTGTAGAACCCTTGGACGTGTGCGCGACTATGCAACATTCTCTCCCGAGGAAGACTGCATTACTGGAGCGTGGTGGAGTCTATAGCGGGTTTGCGTCGTCGTCGTCGCCGTCTCCCTCCTCTCGACTCTCGACTACTCTTTTCTTTTCCCTCCCTCGCGTTCGCGTCGTTCGCGATACCCATACATGTATACCCCCTGCACGTGGGGCACCACACGTGTAAGCTAGAGAAGGAATACCGTCGATCCGAGGTGATAAGCCAATGCCGTCCCGCCACTCCCGCCATGTTGACTATACAATTGTACCCTCGAATCAGCCACTTCGCCAGCGCCAAAAACCTGTTTAAAAACATACGAGGTAGAGATTTGTAGAAGCTTCGAAAGTAAGCTTTTCGCCATCAGTGTGTATATTTTGTAAATGCATATACGTATGAATTCGGAAAAATCATCAAATCAAATTCTTTTAGATGTCAATGTGAATACTTATGTGGGTACACATTTTTTTATGTCACTCTCCCTACCAATTATATTGAGATCAACGTGACGCAGCCAATCAAAATTTTAGACGCTAGTGTCGTATCACTTCGCTATAGGCTACCCCCATATCCCATTTTTTGCTTGCCCCCCCCCCCCCATGTTTACAACAATCGAATCATTAGAGTAAAAGAAAGCATGTGCCATTTTTTTTCACCTGCCAATTACTGAAATCCGAAATGGAAAAATCCTGAAATACGTTAAGTAATAAAAGTAAATATAACTATACCAACATTGACTTCATCAAAACTCACATTTAGCAAGTATTGTTACATACTTACTAACTTACCAAGTTGACAAGCACATTTAAGTGTAGCAGCAAGGGCACAAGTAAAGTTGTCAGTATTGGCAATTGGCCGATTAGGGTGATATGCGCAAGGTATCCGCATAGGGTTATTGGGCGCTTGACCGAGAGCTGAGGCCCGAGGGTGGTCAAAAATCTAAACCAGCCGCCTTTCTCGCCAGAACTGAGGAACCTAAAGATTCGTAGAGATCCTATACCCTCGGGCCTTAGCTCTTGGTCTGTATAGAATACAGAAATAGCAGAATATTATAACACATAAACGTTGGAATGGTATAACCCAACAACACAGGAACGTTGAAATGGTATAACCCGATAACACAAGTACGTTGGCATGGTTTTATATAAACCAGCCGCAACTTAGACCAGTGGATATCAAAGAAAAAGTTGTCTGTGTTTGGATCATCAGCTTATACCATTCCAACGTTCTTGTGTTATACAATGGTATAACCTGATGACCCAAAGACAGACAACTTTTCATTTTGCATTCACTGGTCTAAGTTTCGGCTTGTTAATATAAAACCGTGCAGCACTATTTAAATACCAACAAAACACTCCATTATAGTCGAATATGACCAAAATATTTCGGATCTGCACGAATCATGAGGTTCCTCAATCTTGGGTGAGAGTGGCGGCTAGTTTAGATTTTGATCACCTTCGAGGCCTCAGCTCTTGGCCTATTTTATTATTAAAAGCGCGTATTGCTGTACTTACTTATTGCACCGAATAATTAATAGATATAAGTTTTGCATGTATTATGCAATAATATGGTTTTTTAAATAATTCATTAAATTTATATCCTACTATTTACTTTACCATATTATGATTTTGTTCTGCAATTATAACGTACCCCTATTACTTCACTACTCTATTACAAAAAGCTGTAAAAAAAGTTTCACTTCTTTTCTTTGCTTGATGAATTTTGCAGTTTTCATACAATCAGCGTACGCTTTAGATACATTACTTTTAGATTTTAATTGGTCAATGATTTTTCCAAGTAGATCAATTGAAAGAAAAGACACTAAGTATGCACGAAAGTAATTGTTGCTTTTTTATTAGTTCTTTTTTAAATGAAATAAAATACTTATATTATGTTATATACACAATTACATACAATTATTATTAATATAATCAACAACGTTACTTCACACATTTAGTTATAGAAATAGATTATTTTATCTAACAAAGCATACAAACATCTCCCGGCGTAACTCTCAGATTCGTTAAAATATTTTGCATGAATACAATGTAATGAAATCATACAAAAAAGTGTTAACAATGCAATATAATTTCTAATTTTAAATGCAACAGTTGAACATTATAGTCTTTTGCAAAAGAGATCATTGGTTTTTCGCAATTTCATCCTTTTTCCGACTGCATACTGGAAGCAATTGTTTAAAAACTTGGAAGTTTCAATGAAAAATAATATTTGCAACAAATAGGTCACAAAACATTGGATTATATAGCTTCATAAGCTGTATCAACATCTACGTGTGTACTTGACCCATTCAAAAATTCTTCCAATTCGTCACGTTTCTTTTTTTCCTCTCTTTTCATGGATTTACGTTTTTTTTTTTCAGACCTGTCAGACTTATCTTTTTCTTTATCCTTATCTTTATCTTTGGACTTTTTCTTTTTTTTCTTTTCCTTATCTTCGGTCTGCAGGGAAATGATAATTTTTTTAGCAATCATTGCAAACAAGAAAAAAAAAAGTTATCAATCATTGGCGAACTTTACCTTATCTTTGTGCTTTTTCTTTCCTTTCATAACTGGACTGCTACTGTTGGAACTCAATTGGCGAATACTACTACTGTCTAGTAATTCCAAGTGAACGTTGGAACTTGTTACACTCGCGTCCAGACTCTTGTCGCTCAGCTCCATTTTGTCTTTCTTTGGATTGACGTTACTGCTTACGTCTTCTCCACCTTCGGGACTTTGTCTCCATTTGCAATCTCGACCTAACCAGCTATCAAAGGTGTCATCAGAATTTTCGTCATTCTGATCGTCAATGTATAATTGGTTGGTGACCTGCAACTCCCGCTCTATCGAGGACATAGAGTCGCGTTTTGAAATTTGTAATTTCATTGACTCTGCGCCGAGAGAATTATCCCTTTGCCTATGCTTTTGCTTGCTGAGCGGATTTTCGACTAATTTTGGTTGAACGTTAACCGGCATCTCATCTGCTGATGACAGGTCATCCTCGAAACCAGCTACCAGTGGATTTCCAGTTTCTGTGTCACTGTAAACAAATAAATATTTGTTGATTGAATAAATTTTCTTTGCGCAATGGAAAATACAAGTTTTTAACGAACCTATCAGAGTCTGTCTGTTTCTTTTGACTTGCTTGAGAGTTTGACTGACTATTGTCATCCAAAAAAGATTTATCCAAATAGCCTTCATCAGGCACAAAGTCTTCTACACTTGTAATTGGAGAAATGATATGCTTATGGTTTTCCAAAGATTTTTCTTTTTCTAAGCTTGATTCTGTTTTATTAAGAGCTGTTTTTGAAACAAAAGACTGCGACCTAGTGTTTAGCTGTTCTCTTTTGTCATTGCTAAAACCCATTGATCCCCTGTTGTTTAAATATTCCGGAGCACTCGTGCTGCTAGGTATACTTGTTTGTTCTACTTTGTCGTCATTGTTACTGCTTTGCATTGGTGTTTCTTTTTTGGCAAGTAACTTTGGATCCATATTTTTAACAGGTATAGGGGTGCCACCACCAATGGGACCCAAAACTTTTGCCAGAGGTACTCCTTGATTTGTTGGTCCAACTTGGCCATGAGGACTCAAAGACGACGTGACATTTGGAACCAAAGCTGTTGCAGAAACAGAATCAGCTGCGGCTCTTCTTTTATTTACAAGGAAATCCAAAAATTTGTTGTAATCTGCATCGTCACTCTCTTGGTATACATCTATCTCTTGAACCGTCAAAAGAGTTTCCTCTTTATTGGTTTCCAATTGCTGTAGAAGAGTTTCCTTTTGTAGTTGTAAAAATGGAAGATTAAAAAACTTGTGCAACAATTTCAAACCAAAACCATTTCTCATTGAAGATTCAGCATATCTCACTTGTGCAGTCCTCTCTCCAAGCGAATCAATGAAATAGGTAACATGATCTGCAGTCACAGTTCTATGATGAGACATATCACAGTGATTTCCCAAAACAATGACTGGAATGTGACTGGGTATCTTGGGAAGTTCTCTTTGAATATAATCAAAAGTCCATTGTTTTGTGATATCCATCATGAGTATCACACCGTTCGTTCCCTTGTACACATCCAGAAATTCAGCATCCAAAGCTGGTTCCTCAGATATAGTTTCAACAGACACAATATTATCCATTTTGAGACCTTCCATTTTCTTCCTGCGCCTACCACGATCCACAACATCCCACACTTCAACTTTTACAATATCATCTGTAGCTTTGTAATTCCATTGAATACTAGCAACTTGAATTTCATCCGTGGGCACATACTCTTCAACAAACTTTTGACCTTGTAACCTGTGAAATAGACACGTTTTTCCAGCATTTCTATCACCCTTAATAATTATTTTCACTGAAAAAAGAAACAAAAAATATATATTTATTAAGTGAATTATTATATTATCATTAATTATAAAAACTCAAACTACTCACTATTATATTGGACACCTTTTGCAAATTTTTTTTGCAAATTAAAAGGCATAGACTGATGCGCTGGTCTGGGGGAGGAAGTCATCCCTTCAGATTTACCAGCGAACCGTTTGAATGCTGAAAACATTTTCAATTCTTCTGTGTTTCACCAATTAGAAAATTATTATGTAAATCTTCTTTAGGTATTTTAATAACTATTCTTCAAAATAAACAAGGTGAAAGCTGCATGGTGTACGAAAATCTTCTATCTATAAATAGTTATGATGTTATTTAATGGTAAAAAAGTCTGTATTATTATTACATTAATGTGTTTGTTCACATATTTGAAGATAATGTAATGAAAAAAACAGCACGTAAAAAAATCAATGGATAAAGATTCATATAAAAGTAAAACAGCTGCTGACCACATCAGATGCATTTGACAGCTGATAAGAATTATATAGCCAAAATGTATATATAGCTTTACTAATCGAAACTGCAATACATATACATTGGCTGTGATTTCTCGCTATACTATATACTTCACATTATTACCTCCCCTTCAAAGAATAAAATGGATGGCTCTAGTGTCAAAAAATCTTTGCTCTCGCAGCTCTTATCATCATAATTTACGTACATCAAAAGAAACGTCATATTCTCACGTATTTTTGTACTGGCATTACCTACTTGGTAAACTCGAACGGCTTGAACGTAATCTTACTGTGTAAGAATGTAAAACGTTGATCCATACTTCGTATATACTTAGGTAAGTATATCGGAATCGGGGTCTCGGGGTACTTGAATTGCGATTTCGAGTTTCGAGACTCGCTTGTGTATGGACAATCTACGTAGTGTCCCGGCAAATTTAAATGACTATTTGCAATTTCTTTTAATTTTGTCAGTAACATAGATTAGCTACCGAAAAATCTCAATTAAAAGTTATCTTTAATTTTTTATTTTATTTAACACTTTATAAAAGATATAATTCCTTTAAAACAATAAAAAATACAATACTCAGTCACGTGTAAACATCACATCACATACAGAAATCATCCATGGAACTCTCAATGCTGACTCTCCATCATGGCTTGGCAAAGTAGCGGTCTTAAGTTATCCCTGAACAAAGAATGATTGTCTCCATGGGTGATTTTGATAATTTTTTCAGCTTTATTTAGCATCTCTAAAGCTGGCTTTGCCTTTTCCAAATGCAGCTGTATTTTCCCTAACATTAAGTACAATATTCCTGTGAGAGGATGAAACTCTCCATAATAGTGCCTGAAAGTTAAAGCAATATTTTTAGTTTTACATGTACTTTGTGAGGATGTTTATTTGTTTATCCCAATGGCAATATGCCCTCCACCAAATGTAATTTTTCAACTTATTTGTGGAAAAATCGTATTAAATATCTTACAAATAGCCTGGCAGTAAATCAATTCCAAAACTTTGAGCATCTTCCCAATATCCTAAATTAACAGCAGCATCAAATGCAGATTCCATAGTTCGTATGTACTGAATGTTTAAAGGGTGAAAAACTCCTTTTTGTTTACTCAGGCATATTTTGCTAATATCCAAATCTATTGATATTCAATTAAAGAATTTATACGATTTTGCGGTTGTAATGTGCAAGATATTGTATTTGCGAAAAAAAAGGATACAGGCTACATTTTTCATATTTTCAAGGTGACTTGCAGTAAATTCACTAATTTCTTTGAACTTTTCTTTAAAAGATGTTGAAATCTTTTGACCACAATTCAAACAAGAATCTTCTTTAATATCACATTGGCTTGGACATGATGAGCAAGTTGCAGCTGTTGCAAATGTTTCTGATTCTTTGCATCTCTCACAATTGCACACAAAATAATACGTGCTTTCCAGTTCTGCACGCCTAGTAGTAGTTGTATTTAGTACATCGATGTATGATATATGTATCTGAAAAATTTGCGTTCATTATTGCTTAAACTAACTGAGAAAAAATTATTTTATTCCTTTTTTTTAAACCAAGTGTATTATACTTGTGACCAATCCAAGCGTGGAATATCCTCCAGGGCTCTAATAATTATTGTTGTTCCTTCAAACACAGCAATAGCATTTGGCTTACAACTGTGATCTATTACAGAGGGTCCTAAATAAATGCCAACACCAATGCTGTTCATATCGGAATCTAATATGTTGTACGAATTGACGCAAATTCTTCCATACAAGCCTAATATCTCTGCTGAGTTTGGTAGCTGAGAGCTACCCATAAATTCCTCTAAAATTTGGCAAAGTGAGACAAAGTGCTCCATACGCTTTTGATCGTTTTTTAAACTCGTGTAATCTGAAAGCAATTTAAAAAATCAGTTCAACTGCTCGCCACCTGATTGTTCAATTGAAAAATACGTTGAACCTACGCGACATCAAGTCCTTGAATCTCCTGTACGAGTTTTTTGAATAGTACTCTTTCTCTTCTCCTCCGCCTTGTTGAAGCTTGATGATTATTCTGGCCAGCAAACGAGCAGCGTCTGGCACAATTCGTGGCAGTATTCTTTTCAAATTTGCGCACTCCGCCTTGTGAATCTTCCAAGATTCTTTTTGGCAATTGCGGTCGCAGTAATAAACGTAATGACAACCAGAGCATTTCAAAAGTTTCCCACTAAAAGTATTGTTATATCGTTATTTAGAAAGTCACCAGATGTTATTGTTTAATTGCAACTTTTTTTGTTTTTTTATCAAAATCTATTCTAAATGTATACTTGGATAATTTACCTTCTGAAACAGTGATCACAACGATTATCTTTGTGTTTTGAACTTAAAACGTACGCAAAAGGTTTGGAACTTATCAAACAATCACCTTTTTTTATCTGCATTTCATATTTGTCATGAAAAAATTTCTATAAAAATATTTTGAACCGATACAATAGGACTTGAATTATAAATCTGCGGTAAAAACAGACCCAACGTTTGGACAACCGGTTTCTACTTATAACCTTTAATACAAAGTGGTATTGTTTACATGTGTATTACCTACTGATACACTTTCTTTCTCGTTCTATCATATTTATGGGTTCAAGTATGCACAGAGTGAGATAAGTTTGAGGTATAATTTAATAATTCCACATACTTATTTTACGATTTTTTTTTAAAAACTTTATTGGACGAAAATTCGACTTTGAAAAATTATTCGTATTGATAACAGTAATATACACTTATACTGTACACATAATGTACACTTATGTAGAAATGTTTTAGTTTTTATTGATAAATTTTTTTTTTAAACTGATTTGAAAAATTACTTACTCTTTTTTAAAACAATAATCGCAATGATTATGCCGATAATATGATCTTAACACATGAGCAAATGGTTTTGCCACTAAAAATGTTTCCCCTTTATGAATAACGGAATCACATTTAGTTCTGTTCAAGAGTCGCATTATTGTTCAATAAAACACGTCCAGTACGACGTTTAATTAGTAAAAAATAAAAATTTGTATCCACAAAACTCTTAAGTAGAATGTGAAGGAGCGGACAATTCATCGTGTAGACGATTAACTGTACACCCTATGCACGTGAACTATTTTGAGCAAAGTTTATTTTAGAGGCTTATTAATAGAATGTATGTAGGACTATCCACCCGAGCTGCAAAATTCTATAATGAAATCTCGATTAATGAAATTTAAAATTTATTTACAACGACTCAGAGAAGTCGACGAGTTTACGTCTATGTTATTATCATAAACATAGCTTACAAACATAACAAAAATAATGATAGATAACTATGGTATTACAAAAAAATTATAATTTAATGGAAGATTTTGCTTTGAATTGGAAAAAAAGAAACCTATAGTATGTTTACAAACAAATAGGTCAACCATCCGAAAAGATGGACAGCCCTAAAAACTAGAAAAAAATTTTTTGTTTAAGCGCCCAAGAGATTACACTGTTCACAATAAATGTTCTCTCATATATACAAGCCGTTATTTCCTTTTCGTATCATAAATTAGTCTTTATCCATTATCTCTTGTTTCAATATATTTAAGGCATCTCGTCGTTTTTGCGTAATTAGTTAATCCTTCAAAAAGTGCCTCAGTTGGTAATTAATAAGACCAGCAATAATTTTTGCTTGAATAATCTGAACCTACACTTTTGGCAGCAGACACATCAAACATTGGATATTTGCACTTTTTTTTAGTATTGTAATGCTGTCTTAATTGATTCAGTCTGATTACTGAACTGATTAAAAAACAGATGAATGGAAATCCGTTTAATTTTTTTGAGCACCTTTATTTTACCACTTTTTTTTATGTTCATCCATTGAAACACCACCTGGTCCCAAAGACACAATCATCAACAATCCACCGATCACAGAAAGGGTCTGAAAGTAATGCATTAGAAATTAAAAATTTTTAATTTACTGAAAGTATTTTAAATTAATTGCTTGTTGCGATTTTCACATGTACACTTACTTGGAAGAAATCATATTTCAAGAAATCTCTGAGTGGTTTGTAGTCTGGAATAGTCCACCAAGCGTTGTGATAATAGTTGAGACATGTCAAAATAAGTACAAGTAACAAAGAACTCAATTTAGTCTTGTATCCAATGGTCACCAGAACCATTAAAATTCCTCCCAGAACATCTTGAATAATTTGGAAGAAGGACCACTCGAATCTGATCAATGTGACAAACATGAATGCTAAAAGTACTCTTCCAGCTAGCTGCAGAAGACTTTTTGGCTTGTTTTCGCCAAGGGAGGGTACACCTGCGAAAAGTGACCTGCCCTCAGCCTTGGATTCAGCTAGAACAAGTAGCAGGGCACCAATGAGCGCTAAATTTCTAAAGAGAAATTGCATATCCCACAAAATGCTGTAGGCTAACGTTTGTAGGATAACAATGAAGAAGAGCACCCCACAGGCAATGGGAACTTTCCACCTGCCAAGGACAGCAACGCAGCCACCCAGCTGTCCTACCAAATTTATAAGTACAAATATGGTAGCCAAAAATTTTCCACAGCCCCAGGACATGTCCATATACTCCCTCTGCTCATTCCATTGGACCCACATTCTTAGGCCATCCTCTAGAAATGTGGCAATAAGGCACAGCCTGGCCAGAGTTGGAAGTATATGTTTTCCTTTCCTAATAATCTAAAAATCGAAAAAAACGAAAAGAAAACAAATTAACAAGTACCAATAAATAAACAAATGAGCATTTTGATACAATAATAACGGCCGCAAGTATTTAGATCGCAATACGAATGTAATAATTGATTGAAAGGGAAAAAAGTGTGCGCGAGTGTGTTTGAACGGTGTCCCATATTTTTTATTAAAAAAGTAGGTCTGTGAAAGTCAGCCTGTGGGTATGAGTATATGGTAATTCAATATTGCCACGTTTCGCTTGTAACAGGTTGCTCCAAGATAACATAACGAGTCGGGTGGTATAACAAAGATCGGCATAACGAAAAACTTGGAAATAAATTAAGTAATGTTTTGCGGCCACAGGGATGTATGGTTATCAATACGAAATAACCCGATCTTCGTTGATTCCTCGAACACCCTGAGGGGAAATTTTCTTGAACAAAAAACGCGAGAACGCCAGATCAAAGTTTGGGCATATGGTTGCTTCGAACTCGGAACGAATCGACCTTGGGCCTCCCGCGAGAACGTAGCAGAGGTGAAGGGTCGCTACTCCAGAGACCGAGATTTCGCAAGTCGCACGTGTTCGCGGAGCGGTGGCAGCAGCGACGTATGTCAAGGTCCCGCGCGAGGCCGACTTGGCGCACATAACGATGAAAAGGAAAGAAAGATAAAAAAAATAGAGATACATGAAAGAAAATCGTGACGTGTCCCGAGAGAAGTCAAGCGAGCAAGAAATAACCGACCTAGCGGGAACAGGCATACAGAACGGCAGAATAATCACCTGGTCGGCGACGTCCTCCGCCTTGGACATGACCTCCTGCTGCATCATTGTCTTGAAGTTCTGTGTACCTCTGGATGATGATGATCCGGCTGCTGTTGCTTTTGCTCCCCCCGCGGTTGGTCCGAAGGACCCTTAATTCCCTATGAATCTCGGGAGCCGGGATTTGAAGAAGTAGCACACAGGCCGCCGCGCGACGATTGCTAATATATGTGAGGTCACACGTATAAATTAATATTATTATATATCAACGCGAGCAACGCGCACACGTCTTTCTCTCGGTCTTATTATAACACAACTTCCACGTCTACGCTCCTCAGCCGCCCAGTCCCACTGATGTATTAAGCAGTATTTGAATAAGTATTAGTACCTGAATTACTTGTAAAGTTGTAAATACTTGTATTATGTTGTACACTCTCTTGAAACTGTTGAAGTTTTTTTGTTAAGTTGGTATATGAAGATTAGGTTTAAGTAAGTATGATCAGTTCCGTTCTCTTCCGTTTGCTTCGGAGTTTCGGAGCAAAAAGCTAGTATATATATAATATATGATGTAAATGTGAGCATGTGTGGAGAATTTGACTGTACCGACGGCCGATCGGGGACTAATTTGATGTCTCTTGTTTATCAATATGTACTTGTTTACATACTTGAATGCCACTTGAAAATATCCGAGAAATTTTTTTGTATAAAGACCTTTCCTCACGCGCTTTGAGACATCTCTCTTTTACAAATCTTTTTAAAGTACAACGTTGTACTATCTTTTTTCAAATAAATTAAAAATACATACCTTTGTCACCTAGTGCAAATAATTTAATGAGCTTTGTTTATGGTTATCGTGTTCATTTTTATTTTATATAATTTTTTTTATTATATGGGACACAGGCTTCAATCAAATTATCGTCATACTTGGAGAAATAAGAAAAAAATTCTTGCATAAAAACGAGATAAAAAAGAGACAAGTGTCGATAAATCTCACGGTCCCCTCTGTTGGTCCATCAATAACAGACACCCAAATCCGCCGCGCAAATGACTGGCGATATCGATAACAATATGCGTATGAGAGACAGACTGCCCTTCTATAAGTAAACGGATTTGTCATTTTTTGAAAACAGAGTCAACAAAGTGCCTATAGAGCAAGTATATGTATGTATATAAATCTTAATTCTCGCGAACTACTTGCGTGACTGCCCAGTCATCGCATTATGATAGATGCCAGGCGTTATCGAACTTGATCGAGTTATATGTATATACCTGTAACGTGTATATTCATTATACGGTGTAACAAAGTATGCATAACGTAAATTTTCTGCGAATCCTTTTTGCTTTTTTTTTTTTTTTAACAACAGTACCAAAGTATAATGTATATTCTCTTAAGTTTTCTTCCCCTAATTTTCAATTACAAGTCACGGTCACGACCGACAAATTATGCAGGTACTTGTGTATACGCGAGCTAAGCGCATTAAAAATGCCCGTGTACACTAGTCAAAGTCACCCTCTTCGATTTTTTCCTTTCTTTCTTTCTTTTTTTTAAATTTAATTATCGGCTTTGTTACTTCGCACTTCTGCTCTCCTCCTCGCTGATGTTTGAGAACTAGGGGGGTCTCGGGGATACGTATATACTGTTGAGAGTAAACATTTAATTGAAATATTTATGGGTAAACATATATGTATTGATTACACCTTATACATTTATACCGATGTACACCATTCGAATCGGATTCGTTCTTTCTTGAGTCCACATAAATTCAATTTACTAAAAGTAAAAATATTGTATCGATAAAATGCGCTACGCGCTGCCCCTCCCGCTATCTCGTTTATGCGCAGTTATATACTTGGACATTACCAATCAAGTCTCCGCAATTTACGCGGGTAAGGGATGTCTCACGCTTTATTAATAGAACATTTGATAAAGGCCGTTTACAATGAAAATTTTGGGCAACTGATTCAGATGCTGTATCGACTGTCTGAAACAATAATTAATAATATTAGTTTTTGTACCATGACGTATATATGTACATACGTTTTTCCACGATTTACGAACGACGTTTTCCTTGTCGAGGGCGCAAAGTGCTGTTTTTCGCCCGAGGTTACACTCCTAAGTGGTGCGCGTATTTTCAACCAGTTCACCAGTATTTTTTTTAAAACTTTTTACGGTGATATTCAAACTGAGAATATTATTTATTTATTATCCATTGAGATTATTATTACCACGAGTTCTGCGGCTTTGTTGTAGAATATTATACACTTTGTTGTACGAATGAGTAAATTGTGGGACAGAGTTATTGCGATTGTACAGGCGTTAAGTGTTTTTAATGATGAGTTCTTAAGTATATGTCGTGAAGTTGTTATTTTGCGATAAATTTAAACCCCATAAAAATGTTCCAAGGGCCAGCGGTGTTTGTTGATCACTAAAATAGTATACTCCATTATTTCGATCATTTTGAACGAAAGATTATTACATTAAACTGTAAATTTTTTAAAATCAGGTTTCACACGGATGGCATTACTAATGAGGGAAAAAAATTATTGTAGTTCTAAGCGCCATCGCCACCGGGGCTATTGTACGGCCGTAGGGTAGGCCTGATTTATGAGCCGAACACTATAATTTTTTTCTTGTCACAAGGGCGCAGTAGTAATTTAAACTCCTCGTTTCGAGGCCGTTTCAAAAAGTAATGGCCTCGCATAAAATTTTTTCTTTATTTTTATCTTAAGGATCTGAAAATTTCAAAATAAACTATAGTTATTACGAATTACGGATCATCCCTCAACAAGATCGCTTGCCGTAATGTGTTTTTTTTTTTACCCTATGTACTTATATATACTATTTGTCAACATATCTATTACACCTATGTTGTCGATTAAAAAGTCACCTGTCTCACTGACAGTTACCGACACGAGAATGTGTGTCCAATCGTCCACCGGCATTGTTCATGTTCATTAGCTTCAGTTTTTTTTACACCTCTCGCATATAAAGGTACTGAGATTTATTTTTCCGCCATTGTACCGTCATACCGATAGTACCTATTTAACTTACGTTTAGTGAAAAAAATATCTAGTTGGAAAATTAGGCCGGCAGTTGTGAGAAGTGCGAGATAAGAAGTTGTACGTGTACACGTGGCGCGCTCCTTCGTCAGTTTGCTATCTTTCTTTTTGGCAGTGGTTGATCGTTTGAGCAGCAACCGTCTGGATTATACGCACACCTACGTGTACTTACAAGTAACAGTAGTGTTGGTGTGTGACTGGTGCTTTGCTAACTTTGCTTACTGCAGTGCTTACGCACACGAAAATAACGCGACACGTCGCAGTCTTCAGCTTCTGCTCGGCAGCTACCTGTGGTAGCCGATGATAGCTGTTAAAAGGTCAGAATCACCAACATGCACTGGTTAACGTTGACCCTCGTGCTGGCCATCTCTTTCCGGTATGCAAGCCCGTACTTCATCACCGTCGACGCTCACTCCGAGGAGTGTTTTTTTGAAAAAGTCAACGCTAACGCCAAGCTGGGTTAGTTTGCGATCAAAAAGCTGTTATCATTACTTGTGTACATTATAAACACCGGTGCTTTTAAAACTCAACGTGGTAACATATTTCACTTTATTTTTTACTTTTCAGGGCTCACATTTGAAACAGCCGAGGGTGGCTTTCTAGACATTGATACTAGAATACTGGGACCCGATAACAAAGTTATCTTTCAGGGTAACAAGGAGAGCAGTGGCAAATACACCTTTGCTGCTCACACAGCAGGAGTTTATACTTACTGCTTTAATAATATGATGGGCTCCATGGCACCCAAAGTCGTCATGTTTAATATGGATGTTGAAGAAGCTCCCAAACAGGTTGAGCATGATGCAGTAGCTCATGCCGAGGGAGAAGCTCCCAAAAAACTTGACGATATGATTAAAGAACTGAGTAGAAGCTTATGGAGTGTTAAAAGTGAACAAGATTACATGCAGGTGTGTTTTTAGTTTTATAATCAACACTTGATTGTGTTTGAGTTTGCTTATTTCCACTATCTATCCATGTGCTGCTTGAACTTTCATTATTTAATTCAACCTTTTTTTTTTAGGTGAGAGACAAGAAACACAGAGCCATTAATGAGAGCACAAATTCCAGAGTAGTTGCATGGTCATTCTTTGAAGCTACAGTGTTGGTCTGTATGACTCTGGGCCAAGTATATTATTTGAAACGATTCTTCGAAGTGAGACGAGTGGTGTAATACACATCCACACTTATTATAAACATAAAAATATATTGAATTAAATGGAACTTGGGATGTGTATTCTAGAATTGTTGCAAGTAATTAAATTTTGGATGTATGTCTTAGAACTGTTGCAAGTCATATTTGTATACGTTATTGAGTGAACGATTTTTACGAAATAAAACGGAAACATGTCTTTCTTGTATTTCTTTGTATTTACAAATTTTACTTAGGTATTAGTAACTATACAAACGTTGTTCATAAGAACTGCAATTAAATTTTAATCTACTATGGTCCATGGTTTAATCATCCTTGTTGCATCCCATGGTTCTGGATTCTTATAAGGTATTGCCTCCTGTAAAACTACTCCGCCTTTCCGTAGTTCATCAATTAGAGCTGTTAACTTTGTACTGTTTTCTGTATCAATATCACACATAATTGACCCTATCCCACTCTCAAGACACCTCTGAGCAAGTACTCTCCCAGCATTAGTGTATGCGGTAATATCTAGTGATCTAAGAAAATATTTGACTTGGTAAGTTAAAAAAATAATTGATACACGGTTAGAATGGCCTAAAATACCTACTTGAAAAGGTGTCTCTTCATAGCATACTCGGTAGTTGATACTGTAACAACCGGTCCATTTTTATAATGATTGATTTGTAGCACCAAATTTTTAGACGTTACTTTTACAACTAACCTGAAAATTTATAACCAACTTACTTAGTATAAACGTATGAAAAGTCAAATGATGATTGAACAAAGTAATGTGAAATAAATAAAAAGGGCATACTTGTGCCAGTATTCGTGACCAGGCATATCCAACCAATATCCCAGGGGCTTCCTAGCAATGGTCATCAACTCCAAATTTCTTGGATTTCTGTTCCTAAGTTCGACACAATTTTCCAACAGGTTAGCGTTACTTTGAACATATCTCCTAGTACACCCTGTTCCGCATCTTAGCATCAAACCGACTCTACTCAAATTATTCATCTTGATCACTACACTGAGCAATTAATGTCTTTTTTCTTATTTTATTATACTAATGTATAAGTATTCACTCTAAAATATAATATGTCGTTGTAGCTTAATTATTACCATAGAACTAGATAAGTACAATTATTAAAAAATCAACGCAATAATGTCACCACATGAAAAATCACCTTCCACATCCACACTGAGTTCACCACCAACTAGGTCCCTGACCCTCGATCTGGTGCATTTTCTGTATAAATGTAAGGTGAAGCAGAAGTTACCAGCGTCCATCGGAGCCGACGACACATGCATGCAGTTAAAAATTATACCTATATATACAAGAGGGAGTTATAGAGGCGGGGGGGCTCTGTTATATATATATATAAACAATATTACACGAACATGACAATAGGGTAGTTTTGATACGTGGTTTGAGATTTTGTCATTTTTTTCTTCTCAACTGTGTGAGGATTTTATTTATTTTTAGCATTGCAACAAATATTTACAGCCTATTATGTATAAAACATATTATTTACAATATATACATTGGAAACATTTTTTTCGCACACAAATAATTATGAGTACACCTTTAACTTTCTTCCAAAAAACTTATTTGTTTTCTGTATTTAAGGAGTAAAAATAGTAGTTTTCCTACGAGTTTGAAAAGTCTTTGTTTGCGAACCGAGAGGTTTGCGGCCCGAGCCGAAGGCGAGGGACGTAATGATGAAGTTCGTAAAGGAGACTTTTCGAACGAGTTCCGGAAAACTGCTTTTTTGCCCGAGGAAGTACCAGCCTCCCAAAATCACCCGAGGGCGGAAAATCTCATTTTCCTATTCAAACTCGCCATTCATAAGAAGTTGTTCTCTGCAAATTTGTTTGCACCCGATATATGCTCTGACTAGGATTTATTTTGCACGAGTTCTAAAAATCGATATATGTTCATCTTTCTACTTAGTAGCAGTGGGTACATAGAATTAAACTCTGATTTTTTTTTTCAAAGTACGAGGTTGTGATACATATGGACGCTGTATAATAATTTTAGTAATAAATCAGAACTAATATAGTAAAACAATTATGAAAACACTGTGTATTCGTAAAAAAGGAGATACAAAATAGGGTCACTATATATACTTTTCGTTCATGGATTCGACGATACACCTTAAATTCAGTAAAAGTTACGTACTAAATTTGAGTGTAAAGCTAAAAAAACGTTTCCATGTCACTTAAGGGCAGAGGAACCGAAGACGTACGGTGTTAATAAGTTTTATATCAAACAAACCACTTATACATATATTGGTTTAACAGTAAATAGCTTAAAACTCGACTTTATGTACTATTACAGTATAACGTTCAATGTAATGTAACTTCATGAAGCTTTCTATAAGAAATATTCAAATGAATAAAAACTGACACTAAATTTTCGAATTCTGAGCAATATCTTAGCGTTGTGGACGTTCGCAACGATTGAGTGAACTATCTAGAGAGTTAATCTGATCGAATAAATAATTTACAAAGGGTCAGCAATGTCGCAATTCTTAAAAAATGTTATATTTGATTTTTATTGGTTCCAAAATATAATTGAATTCGCCGTATCCTATTATTTACAAAGTAACTAGCGTTTAAATTTTTGATATAGCATAAGCCTTAATTTTTAAACTTTGAGCAACATCTTGGCTTTGTAAACATTTGCAACGTTACAGTGAACTATCTAGAGAGCTGATCTGACCAAATTAATAATTAACAAAGGATCAGCTGTGACCCAATTGGCATAAAAAGAAATTTTTTATTTTTATTTTTTCTTGATTCAAAATTATAGCTGATTGCGCCGTATCACTAGTTTGGAAGATTCTCTGGCTAAAACTTTAGAATTTTAAGTGATGCCATAGCTTTGTAGCCGTTCGTAAGGATTAATTAGACAGTCCGTAGGAGTAATTCAATTGGAAAATTGATTTTAGCATAGAGTAGCAGGGCCTAGAATAAGCCAATAAACAAGAGAATTTTTTTTAAAATTTAAACAATATCAAATTATCGCTAATTTTGTCAAATATTCTTCACTTACGAAGATACAAAGGATTAAAGATTTAAAAACATTTCGAACATAAAATTAAAAATTACTGGTAACAAGGCGTTGCAGTCGCTTGTAGACATCTGTAAAGATGTCTGGTAAGTTAAATCGGTTGCATAAATCATTTTTAAGAACAAAAATAAGAATGACATTTGACGTTTATTAAAAATGAAACTTTAAAGCTTTAAGTAATTATATGGCCTTTAGGTTGCGCGTAAATATCCGTAAGGATGTCTACGTAAGTTATCAAGACGTATAAATCATTTTCAATACAAATTCAATTAACTAGCAAAAGCATTTTTGAAATTTTTTTTTTATTTTTTGTTATTACAAATAGAGGCTTGTTTCGCTGCATCTCCATTATTTACGGAGATACGGGCTATTTAAGTTTTAGTTTTTTTTTGAGCTCAACATATTAAGTTTTAAATAGTTGTATGGTCTTAAAATTGCTCGTAGGTGTCCCTGAGAATGTCTACGTTAAATATCAAGGCCTATATTTAATTTCTTATACGAGTGGAAATCCCTAGCATGAGCATTTAAAAAAAATTTTTATGTTTTATTTTCGTGATTCTAAATAAAAGCTTATTTCGCTGTATCTCCACTATTTACGGAGAAACGGGCGAGGGACGTAATGATGAAGTTCGTAAAGGAGACTTTTCGAACGAGTTCCGGAAAACTGCTTTTTCGCCCGAGGAAGTACCAGCCTCCCAAAACCACCCGAGGGCGGAAAA